ATTCCTTTAAACACTTTTTAGTTTTATTTGTACTCCCACCAACCAATTTTGGTTTCCTGTTTACTTTACTAATTAATTAATTTTTTTGTTGTTTCTCATCCCAATAATATTTCACTAACTCCACATGTTTTACTCCCTTTTATTTTTTAGTATTGTTGATATTAATTTTTTATTATTCATTAGATTAATTAATTTTTTTGATCCTTTTCTTTTCATTATTATTTTATTATATTTTAACTACTTAGTTACTTTCTCGTTTTAATTATTTTTCAATTAATCTTAATATTTTTAAGTTTTTTATTTTCATTCTATTTTATTGTTATAATTTTTAATCATATTGTTTTCTAAACTTTTTTATTGTTTAATTTTTTTTAAATGATTTTTTTCGTTCAGTTTTTATGTTTTATTTTTTATATAATTTTGAAAATTTGCCAATATTTTTTTTTTAATATTTTAATATATTTTATTATTATATTATTTATCTTAATAATTTTTAAATTTTAAGATTTTCTTATATTTTAGTTTCTTTCTTTACTTTTCCTTCATATATATACTTTATTTTTAATTTCATATTTTAATATTAATTTATTATATTTTTTCATATTATTTATTTCTTCTTAATATTTCCTAGTTTTTGAATTGTTTTGGTTTTTATTAACTCATTTTAATTACGTTTTTATAATCTCCCTTCTAAATTTATTTTTTCAGTCGCTTTTTAACTGTTTTTTTTTTTAATTTTATTTTTGTTTTTTTTTTTTATTTTTTTTTTTTTTTTTTTAATTTTATTTTTGTTTTTTTTTTTTTAATTTCTAATTTTTTTATTTCTTATTCTAACACCAAATAGTTAATATTTTTTAAACTAATATTTATTACTTTAACTATTATTTTTTGCTTCCTGTACTTTTTATTGTTATTTTTCATTGCATTTTTAATATTTTCTTTCACTTGTTATTTTTGTTCAATATTTTTATTTCAATATTATTATTTATTTATTTTTAAATTATTATTTAAATTTTTACAATATTTTTTTTTTTACTTTGAATGTTTTAAAATTTTATTATTTTATATATGAAATATTATTTTTTGTTTGTTGTGATGAAGACTTTTATTTCTATTGTACTTTATTGTAATAATTTTTACGCATGCTGCTTTTTTAAATTATTTTTTATTGCTTAATTTTATAGGGTATTTTTCGCCAATATTTTATATTATGTTTTTATTTTGAAATTTTTACAACAATTTTTTTAATATAAATATTTTTGTATTCTGTAAAATTTTATATCTTTTTCTGTTTGAATTCTTATTATATTCTTCAAATTAGTTTTTTTTTTGCATCCATATGAACAATTTTTTAACATTCAGCGTTATTTTATGATATTTTTTTTTAGTATTTATTTTTTATTTTTTTTAATTGTTTATATATGTATATACATCGTATATTTCGTATATATATATATATACAAAAATATTTATATTAAAAAAATTATTGTAAAAATTTCAAAATAAAAATATTATATAAAATATTGGTGAAAAACACCCTAAAAAATATATATATATATTTTTAAATATTTTCTTTATCAATTTTTCCTGGTTTTTAATTAATTCATTTGCTCAATTGCTTATTTATTTTCTTTTTATAAATTTTAAATACGCTTTTTATGTAGTTTACTTTTTCATTTTTGTATTAATTTTTATTTTTGTTTTTATTTTAATTTTATATTATTTTTTTTTTATTTTTTATTGAAACCATATTTTATTACTAATTTCTTTAATTGATATTATTTTCTTTCTTATTACTTTTTTACTGTTATCTTTCATTACCTTTTTAACCTTTTCAATATTTTTTTTGTTTAATAATTATATTTTAACATTCTTTTACTTTTTTGTGTATTTGTATATATATTGTATTATGGTTTAAGTTTCTCTAATATTTTTTAACTTTAAATTGAAAATATTATTACTTTATATTTTAATTATTATTATTTATTACTATCCATATTATTTTTATTTTAATATTTCTCATTTTAGTATAAGTATAATATTTTTAACATTTGCCATTTTTTATTATTTCCTATTTTTATATTGACTTATACCAGTATAACATATCTTTTATCATAGTTTTTGTTTTTAGTTTTTTATCAACTCATTTTAAATGCTTTTTGACAATAATGTTTTTTTTTTTTTTTGCTATAATGAGATCAAGCCTGATAACAGGCTGAGTTTATTCTAAAATATTTTCAAATCTTTTTAATTTGTGTAATTAATTTTTATTATATTTGATTACTGAGTTTTTTTTGTCAATGTTCTTTTAATCATTTATTTATTTAGTTTTTATTTTCTAAATTTGTTATTTTTTTTAATTTTACCGATTTTGACTTGTTCAAATTATTATAATATTATTCCCTCATATTTTGATTTTCTTCACATATTATTCTTCATTATTTTAATTATTTTTATTTATCTTTTGTTCTTTTATAGAGTTGCCCATTTATGTGCTTTGAATTATCTTTTTTCTATATATATATATATATATATTTTAATATATTCCCATTTTCGTTATTATTTGAGTTTAACCAATTAAGATTTTTAAACTAATTTATGTTTTTCTAATAGTTTTTATATCTAAGCATTTTTGGTTTAATTATTTAATATTTTTCTATTCTTCTTTTTAATTTTTTTTTAATTCTTATTGAAATTATTTTACTATTTTTTAATTATTTATTACCTCTTGCATTAATTTTTTATTATTTTTTTTTAGTAATTAATTAATTAACTAATTCTTACTCTATTTACTTTTTATAATATATTATTTTAAATATTTTATAAAATTTTATGTATTTTTTTATTTATTTAATATATTTAATTTTTTTTTTACTTTAATGTCGGATTTGAATTTGTTTTGCATTATTTCCTTTTTTTATTTTTATTATTTTCATTATAATTATAATTATGAATTATAACATCCCGTTTTCTTTTATACTTTATTTTTATATTTAATTATATATATTTTTTTTATATTTTTTTTTTTTTAATATTTAGGTTTTAATTATTTATGATTTTAATATTATTTAATTTTTTACGGTTATAATATTTTTTACTAATAATATATAATATATTTTATTATTTCTTTTATTAATTTTTTTTGTTATTTCTTATATACCTTTTTTAATTTTTATTTTACTAACGTTTTCTAAATATTTTATTTCTATATTTTTATTATTATATAATATTATTATATTTTTAATATTTAATAACTCTTTAACGCCTTTGCATTAGAATTCTTCTTAACGGGTTAACACTAAACAAAGGCAACGTTTGCGTCGTCAATTTGGCTTCTATTGTTCGTCCATAACATGAAATGCAAGGTGCTTTCCGCTTTTGTTAAATAAATTACCCAACATGGCTCATTGTCTGTCTATTATGAGCTATAATGAGTGTTTAATTTTAGTTTCTATACTTTTTGCATTTATTTTGAGGGGAAAAAACAGATTTAAATAAGAAAGAATTTGTCAATTTTGGCATTTTCTACGCGGTGAATAGTGGCGACGCGTAAATGATGGCGCCAAAGGCAATAACTCGCACTGAAACAACAACATAACAACCATAACAACAACAACAACAACAACTAGGTGATTGAATATCACCGATGATCGCTGCGTTGATGATCGTAATTTATAATTTAAACCTCCACAAACCTACATACCCATAAATGGTGGATATTGTTGTTTTTGGTATTGTTATTATTAGTATTATTTTTTTTTCATTTGTTGTCTCAACAAACGCTCGAGGAGGCACAGCAAATATAATATTTACTTTTCTTGAGTGCAATTTTTATGACACTTCTGATCAGCATAATTTTCGAGCTTACAGTGGTCACCTACAAGGTAAATAACCTGCACTTTTTCTGTATATATGTATGTATGTGTGAATGCATTTATGTTTGTATGTGCAGTATAATGCTACTGCTGCTGCTGTTGGCTATGCAAATAGCTAATAAAGCGCTAGCATCAACTGCGAGACGCAAGCTGGCACTCAAGCCGTCCGTCAATCAATCAGTTTGTTGGTTTGTGCGTCATTCTTTGGGTTTTCAATTCTAGCTCAGGTACTGAGATGCAGTCAGTGTTGCCATAATTGTTGTTATTCCGTTAATATACAAGAAGATCGTTCAGATTTTGAGGGTTTTTCGATAAGGTGATAAAACGGTGTAAAATGGTTTTAAGACCGAGAAATTTGAGGAGCAATGCTATTTAAAAACTTCAAAGTGAGAACCTTTGGAGACACGTGATGAAGAGAGCGAGCAACAAACGAGAGAGTATCAAAGCCTAGCTTTTTTCTACCAAAAAAGTTTTTTTTTTTTCAAAACATTAATCTATACAGGTGGCAACTTTAGTGGCAAATATTCAGATTAATCTTCTAGCCGGCTTTGGGAGGGGCACTTGTTCCACCAAAAATTTTGAAGAGCAGCAAATCTCATCACCACTTCAGTATGTTTTTTATATAGTATATTATCTGCATTTAACAACAACAATAATAATAAAAACAACAACAACGATAACATCAACATCCACAACAACAATAACAACAACAACATCAACAACAACAATAATAATAATAACATCGACAACAACACTAACAACAACAACAACAACTGTGAATAACCAATATGACAGTAACTCATACCACAACAACAACATATCAAACTGACAACCCAGCAGCGATTAGCTCAGCTTAACATCCAAAAAAGACTGAAATAATTTCGCAAAAAAAAATATATATTTTTAAACATTTGTTTTGTTGTTGTTGTTGATGTTTGACTTTGCTGTTTGTTGGCAGCGTAGCTCTTAGCTGTTGTACATTTATTTTGGAAAATAGGCGCGCATACAAAAAACCGAATAGAAAACAAAAAAAAAAACGAATGAGAAAAAAATGAAAAGCAAATAAATAGTTTTGCGTTTCTTCAAAGTATAAATTGGCTTGTTTACCTACGCTTCGCCAGCAGTTCTTAACTCACCACAAGCCGCAAACAACGCGTCCGCCAAAACGTAAAGCGCCTTAAAGTCAAGTACTCCATCACTCAGTCAATCACAATCGGAAATTCTTCAGTGCATACGTGTGTGTGTATGTGTGTGTCTGTGAGCACGCAAATTTAGTGCCAAAATGGTTAGTGTTTTACAGTAATAATGGGAAGAACTCATTTTATTGGCCATAAAATGTATATAAAAATATATAATTATTTATATGTGTTGGTGTGTAACATTGAAGATTGAAATTTATGTTGGGAAAAGTGCACTGCGTGACAGCTTGAAATGTGCTACACAGTGTGTGCAAAAAGAGCACAAAGAATCCATTGTTTTTGATATATCTGAAATGGTTTGTGAAGGTGTTTCCGGGAATTTAATTCTGACGTTCTTTCATCTCTTCCTCCATTGAGCTGTTGGTTCAATACTCGCTGGATGTTCCAGCCGGACAGCTAATAGTCTGAGGTATAAGTGCTCTGGCACAATGGCCTCTTTCTGCTGAAACTGCTTCCGCAAAGCTCTTCTCTTCTCTTATAGGTACAAATGATCGAGGCGAACTCCTTTCTTCGGTGTGATATTGTAAGGAATTTTCCGATGAGATGAAATTTATTAAAAAAGGTCTAGCTTAGAACTTTGCGCGTGAAGCAAGGGTAGAAGCCAAGAGCTGTTTCCAAATGTTATGGATCGATGTGATATCCTTCCTTGTATAATTTAGCCGCATAATAGCTCAAAAAAAAAAAATTAATAAAAAATTAAAAAAATTGGTATCTAGAAGATTCAGTTGACTTTTTTTGTTGAACAAATTATAAGGTACGAAACGGAACGCAGTTCCTGAGTGGTACCAGCCATCAAGCTTTTAGTCTTTGGTACCGTCGGACCGTTGATATGTGGTGAAATATCAGACTTGTACTAAGCGAACATCCAGTACATCCTAATGAAGGAATCTAGATTTGGGAGTTACCAAATAGATTTGCTCTTTCAACTTCTTCCTGCTAAATCCTTGGATAAAGGGTGGTTATGCTCTTCAGTGTATTTAAGCCACAAAGATAATGGTCAACCTGGAGCAGACTTACTGTTGTCTGATCTGCTATCCTCTCATCTACCACTTTCGGGCAACGAAAGATGTCTGTTACAAAGCTCACCGTTATGAGTTGTCATCTGAATAGTTTGTTAAATTTGCAGCTACATCCTCAAAGGAAAATTTATTTCTTCTATCTTTAGTGACCGAATCAATAACTTTGCGGCATTCATTTCTTCTTTCGCTGTTTGGCGTCAATTGGAAATACCAAGTACAGTCAGATCCTTCTCTACCTAGTCTTTCCAACTGAGTGGAGGTCTTTCTTTTCTCTGCTTCCAACGGCGGGTACTATATTGAAAACATTCAAAGCGGGAGTATTTTTATCCATCCGGTCCGCATGATCTAGCCCAATAGTCAATGTCATCGCTTATCTCATACAACTCATCATTCCATCATCGCTGCCATATTCGCCATTAAAACTGGCAGAGGGCCATAAATCTTACGCAAAACCTTTCATTTGAAAACTCCTTACGCCGAATCATCAGATGTTGTCGCTCACGCCTCCGCACCAAAGAGTAGGACGGGAACAATAAACAATTTGTAGAGTTTGGTCTACATCCGTCGAGAGAGGACTTTACCTTTCATGTGCCTACTCAGTCCGAAGTAGAACCTATTAGCATGCTGATATTGTCGTTGGTGTTAATATTGGTTACGAGATAGGAAACCCATTTGCTAAAGAAATATTCGACAAATGTCGAAAGGGAAAGTCTCCTACAATATCGCTAAAGAGAACTGCTCTGAAAATAGAAAGGCAGAAAGCATGGAGTTTAACGACTATTGGAAGCGAATGATTTTTACCGAGTTCTTACTCTAAATTTGTGCTGTGCTGCTGAAGCGATTTTCGGCTTGATATTGATCTTATGATCTTCTGTTGATTATATCTTTGATATAAGATGATTGGCGACCGCTGTAGGCGAATAGGTGCCATTCGGAAGGTTCGGGTTCAATCCTGGGGTGGCACTCCAAAAAGTTATAGAAAATTAACTGAAAAAAAAAAATTAAGTTAAATGTTCTAATTGCGGTCGCCACTCTACAATGCTAACCCCTCCGAGTGTTTTTCTGATATTTATTTCAGGCTTCTCATAAAAAAACCCTCAGTCGTTCGGAGGCGGCTTAGTATAAACTGTAGGTCCTTCAATTTATTGAAAAAGCATCCAGACGCAAACTCATAAATTGGAGGAGGAGATCGGCCGAAAATCGCTTCAACGGTGGCAAAGTGCCAATTATAAATACGTATCTTGCAAACCTCTTACATGTTTTTCGCGAGTATATGTACTCTTGGCAGTTTGTGCCCTTCTGTGCTTGTGCGAACCGTTGAGTCTACCAGTCCGTTTCCGGCAGAGACTTCTCATATCTCCATGATTAGAAGCAAAAGCGGGAGCTGGAAAAGGAGAAGTTCGAAATAAGACGATTTATTTAAGGCATTCAAACATAATATAATGGAATATTAGTTAAATCCTGAACGGTTCAAGCCCTAAAATGGAAATTACAGGAGAAAGATCCTAGCTTAGCGATCTTGTGTCTCGTGGATACCAAGGAAAGATCAATGTTTCTTCAGGGCCCAAATAATTCGACAAGCAGCTCACAAAATATGGGAACTAGCCGGAAATGGTTCGAGATAGCTTCCTTTGCTATCACCAAAGAAAGCTGAATATACTATTAGAACCTGAACCCTTCCGACTGTCCAACTGTTTGGGGACAGTCTTGGCCATGTTGAGTCACTTTTGGCGATATATTTCTCTTCGCATTTCGGTGGCTCCAAAATTTGCCGAATGACTTATTTCACAGCAAATTTTTTATTTACCAATTTCATTTTTTCTCTATTGCAGTATCTACTCTCCAGCATTGTTCTCTTCACGCTGGTGGCTTGCATTAGTGCTGATGTCTCACATTTGCCACGCACCTACTTGCCGCCGTCAACTGGATCTCGTACGGTAACTTTCAATCCTAGCACAGGATATTCGACCGGTAGCAGTGGCGTTGGTATTGGCGCTGGAGTTGGCTTTAGTAGTGGCAGCAGTGTTGGTCATCGTTACACAGCACCGTCCACCTCCTACAGTGCACCCACTGCACATGTGATTGGCACCTCATCGAGCTCTAGTGGTTATTCGGTGCCAGCCGCGCCATCACGTAAATATATAGCGCCAGTACAGGCTCCCGCTCCAGTAAAATATACCGTTTCATCGACGGTGCATCATGCGCCTGCACCAGTATATCGCGCTCCATCCGTGAGTTACATTGCCCCTGCTACTCACACCACTTCTTATCGCGCTCCAGCCGCCACATACAGCGCACCAGTCGTTCATCACACAGCACCTGTGCGACAATATCACGTTCCCCTTGTATCGCAAAGTACATCAGCATCAGGTCAATATCGCGCACCAGCTCAGGTCTACAGTGCTCCGGCTGCTGTGAGTCACAGCACCTCATCGGGTTCTTATAGGGCACCCTACTCATACAACCCGCCTGCACAAACTTATCATGCGCCAGCAGTACAATACCAATCTCCCACTGTTACATATAGAGCACCAGCGGTACAACATCATGCTGCCGCTGGCTCGTACAGAGCTCCTGCACCTCAGTATCATGCTCCTGCTGCCACTTATAGAGCACCTGCAGCTGTCACTAGCTACAAAGCTCCAGCTTCTTCTTACAGCGTATCCACTTCTACATACAACGCTCCAGCCGTTTCTTCCAGTAGCTTTTCCAATGGTTCATATCAAGCACCAGCTGTGCAATATAGAGCTCCAGCGGTCTCTTATAGCGCTCCAGCCAAACAAATTTCGACCTCATCTTCCAGCCTCGGTACCCAGTATGCGGCTAATGGTGGTTATATCTATTAGAACCCTTTCTAACGATCTTTTAAGTGTTTAGATGTTGGTATTATCTCGCTTCGAATTGGTTTAAAGCAAAATTAATATATTTTTTATAGAAACAGATTCCGTACACTGTGTTTTATTTGGTTACGTAAATATAAGAGAACATAAAATAGATAGCTAAAGGATGCCCAAACTTTTATAGTCAGCACTAATAATACCAGGAAGGTACGTAGTTCACAGCGATCTTAGAAGCACTACTGAAGCCCGAGACGTATGTAATCCAGGTGAGCTCCATGAAATTTTTTATTTCTCAGAGAGTTTGGAGTCCGGGTCGTAGTCAGTTCAACGTGAGAAAGGATTCTCTATGGGAGTTCATTAAATACCGTCTCTCCTTTCTTAGCTCCCTTTTTCCTCCATTTCGCTTGGAGGGAGCTTTCTCCCTTTGTAATTGCTTGGGGTGTAACTAAGTCTCTGTAGTAACAAAGCTTACAGCTCTGGATGTTTGTTCTCCAGCTGTATTGAACGGCAGGGCGGCTCTGAGTTCGAGCTTAAAATACTCGAATACACTTTCCTAAAGAGTAATACAGCTAAGTACCTGGACCCGGGGTTATATGGTCAGTCGTCGAATACAGGGTATGTCCACAATCTGACTAAAGGTAAGATTGGTGAAATGCAAACGCCTCTTTATAGGAAATGTCAGCACTAGAGAGTTTCTTAGAAAACTTCACAGAGAACTTGCCAACACTTTGCCTGAAAATAGTCGTAGGCAAGTCTTTCAGTTCAAAGATCTCATACGTACAGGACCACCGTATTACAACCAAAGACTTCTCGTCTGCTCAGAAAGTCACTATTTGAATTTATTTAAATATTGGGCAAAAAAGGAGGTTTACCAAGCCGAGCTGGGACGAAAAGATCTCTCAGGACCAGAGACATTATCAGGCGTTATGATCTTATGCTTTTCTAGAGCTCTCTATGGGAGAATATGGTGTATCGTACTCCTCTCTAGTGTTTATGATAGAGTTTGAAACGTGGCTTCTTTCTTAACTACCCTTCCCCAAAGCTCATGGGGTACTCTTGAAATAAATAAGAGATTTACTAATTGCTTAATATCACTTTCATTTATTTGTCGTGTAATCGTTTGTTCGCTGAACGAAATCATGTCGCTCAGCAACTAAGAAAAAATACTGTGATTAGTACCGAAGTTACAAGCGCTTAGTTTCTGTGTCTGTAACGATATTCATAACCACCATTGTCGGCATATTTAGTGCCATAGTTGGATGAACCAGCTGCAACGATTTCTTGAATATTCGAAGGAGCAGCAAATTGAGCTGCAGGAGCAGAGGCTGCATAGGAAGGTGCAGGAGCAACTGGACGTGGAGCCGGAGCTGAGTAGACGGGAGCAGCATGAGAGGCCGCAGCAACTGGAGCGGCATACACTTGTGGACGTGGTGCAGGGGCGGGAGCTGAATAGACGGGAGCAGCATATGAAGCGGCAGCTACTGGAGCATGTTGAACTTGTGGACGTGGAGCTGGGGCTGAGTAAACAGGAGCAGCATGAGAGGCAGCAGCGCTGCTACCGAAGCTGCCCGAGTAACCACCGGAAGGAGCAGCATGCACTTGAGGACGTGGAGCTGGGGCTGAGTAAACAGGAGCAGCATGAGAGGCAGCAGCGCTACCACCGAAGCCGCCAGAGTAACCACCGGAAGGAGCAGCATGCACTTGAGGACGTGGTGCAGGCGCTGAGTACACTGGCGCAGCATGTGAGGCAGCGGCGCTACCACCGAATCCGCCTGAGTAACCAGCGGAAGGAGCAGCATGTACTTGAGGACGTGGTGCGGGCGCTGAGTACACTGGCGCAGCATGCGAGGCAGCGGCGCTACTACCGAAACCGCCCGAGTAACCACCAGAAGGAGCAGCATGCACTTGAGGACGTGGTGCGGGCGCTGAGTACACTGGTGCAGCGTGAGAAGCAGCGGCGCTACCACCAAAACCACCCGAGTAACCAACGGAAGGAGCAGCATGCACTTGAGGACGTGGTGCGGGCGCTGAGTACACTGGCGCAGCATGCGAGGCAGCGGCGCTACCACCAAAACCACCCGAGTAACCAACGGAAGGAGCAGCATGCACTTGAGGACGTGGTGCGGGCGCTGAATACACTGGCGCGGCGTGGGAAGCAGCAGCTACTGGTGCGGCAAACACTTGTGCACGAGGCGCAGGAGCTGGAGCGGAGTAAACGGGCGCTGCATGTGATGCCGCTGCGCTACCACCGAAATTTCCCGATGAGACACCTGTGGAGTAACTGGGAGCAGCGTAAGTGCTGTACGTGTTAGAGGCCGAAGCCTTGGGTGGCAAGTAGGTATTGCTCAATGCATTGGCACTGACGCCCAACAAGGCGATGATGGTGGTGATAGCGAAGATTTTCTGTAAGTAGAAGGAGAAAATTTGACGTGAGCACGAGTTTATACTCCTTGACGCTTGACGGCCTAGAAACCCCACCATTTTCAGCTGGATTACTAAAGCGTTTAACTTGAAATCTGAAACTGTTGACTTTGGCTTAATCGCATGCAACTTTTATACGAGATTCTCTACGAAATGCGTTTTTACAGTGGACCGACCATTCGATTATAAGACGGTAGAAGGCGTGCAAAAAAAAAATTTAAATAAATAGGAGGAGGAGAAAAAAATGTAATGGACTTCCATGGAGATTTTCTTGTTTAGCTAAGCTGTTCTTGCATCTTTCTTCGTGCCGAACTTCGCGTTTTTTGGTTAATTCGAAAGCAAATTCATTAATTAAAACGAGTTTGGCGAGAAAAAAATTTCTAATCGATGAAATGAATATCATAATAACAGCATAACTGAAACACAGAGGCGTCAATATGCACATACATACAAACATGCAGACATACATACAAGCACAACAAATAATGGAATTCTAATTAGAACATTGGAGCAAAAAATACGCCAAAATTAGCAAAAAAGTCATTTGAAGAAATAAATATGATGATGAAGAAGAAGAAGAAGATGACTTTCTTGCTGGGGAACAAAAATGTGCATAAGAAGTACAGTAGACAGTTGAAGAGCGTGTTTTGCCTTATGTCATGCCTTCAATAGGGTTTTCCAACAAGAGGTCTTATTTTGTTATTCAAAGGAAAATGGCATTTTTAAAGAGATAAATGACTGGAAGTTTAGTTCAATGTAAGAAGGAATGTCCAAACCCTTCGAGTGTCTCCTTGGCAGGGAGTGTCAACCCCTCCGGACGTATTTCTGACATAAAATAAAGGCTGCTCGTAAAAAAAACATCAGCTCTTCGGGAACGGCTTAGCATAAATTGTAGGTCCCTCCATTTGTTGGAAAAACGTCAAGACGCAAAACACAAATGGGAGCAGGAGCTCTGCTGGAAATCGCTTCAGCAGTTGTATGTTAAGAGCAAGATATGCCATTGATAATGGAAAACAATATCAGCCAAATGGCCGCCCCGTCTACGCTTAAAGAACCGTATCCCTTACATTCAATTTTTCATCACCACATCGCAAAGTGGCTGCCCTCAATAACTTCATGAATGCCATATTTGTGGTTTTGAATCGACGTTCACCTGTTGTTGTACACCTTATCTCTTACGTAGCGCCAATGAAAGAAGTCGCAAGGTATGAAATCACAACATCTCGTTGGTCAATTGCGATCATCTCTTCGACAGATAACACGCCACGGAAGCCTTTCTCTCAAAAGATTGTTGGTTTCATTGGTTGTTTTTCCGGATCACTACCATCCTTTTCGGGCCATAAAAACTTACTAATAATCTCTTGATAGCGCAATCCATTTATTTTCAAAAAGTAAGTCCCGCCGAACCATAAAACGCACCAAACAGTTACACGTTGAGGATGGATAGGCTTTTCAACAACAAATTTTTGTTTTTCTGTACCCCAGATGCGACAGTTTTTCTTATTGACCTAGCCATCGAAGAGGAAATGGGCTTTATCAGTCAATTTGTTTTTTCACTGAAATTCCAGATCATTTTCATGCATTTCAAGGACCCAAACATCAAAGACACGCCGTTGTTGATGTACCGCCAGCTTGAGTTCTTGTATTAAGTAAAATTTATAAACCTTAAGACCCAAGTCTTTATACAAAATTCGGTGTAATGACTTAGTGGCATGCCCCAAAGAATCCAAAGAACGACGAGGGATGGGTTTCCTTCAACATTTGGACTACAGCAGCAATATTCTCAGTTGTTCTTAAGCGATGTTCACTTGTTTTATTCCTCATATCCGTTAATTGTCCCAACAGCACAATTTTTCCCACCAACCGGAAAAATGTTTCATTTTTTCGAACCATCTGTGTCAGGTTTTCAATATTTTTGCAGTAAATTTTATATAATTTCAAAGCGTTCCATTTTTTTATAATTGGCGCTCCTCCTCCAATTTGTGGTCTTGCGCTTTGACGCCCAAAAAAAATGGAGAGATCTACAGTTTATACCAAGCCGCCTCCGAACGGCTGATGGTTTTTCAAGAGCAGCTTGATTTCCTGCCAGAAATGCACGCGGAGGGGTTGTGCGACCGCAATTAAAAAATATAAATTAATTTTTTTAATTAAATTAATATTTAATAATTTTTGGCTGTTGGCCGTACTAGGATTTGAACCCGGGAGTTCTGCGGTCGAGGTTTTTGCTTGTCAAAAATCAAAAAAGTAAAGCAGTAAAAGTGAAATCTATCAAAATAGCAGGGTATTCAAAATGAGATCTCTTCTTGGAGAACCCCTTATAACAAAAAAAAAAAAAATATTATATATATGTGTATATAAATATATCTATGTATATAATTAAAAATTTGGAATTTGATTTTCAGAATTTATCTTAACAACATCTGCATGAAATTTTCATGCATAATTTCCATCATTTTCAATAGTGTTGATTGCGCGCCCCACTCACTAGTTCTGGCCCCAGTCGCAGCAATTGCTGTTGGCTCGCTTTTTGCTTATTTTACGCGGCAGCCACGGGCGTAGCAGCTCGTTTAACTATAATTTATTTGCTTATTTTTTCATTTATTCAAATTAAATTTCCAATTATAAAATATATATATATACGTGTGTGTTTTTCAAACCCATTAGCAAATCACAATTAATAGATGTTTGTGTGTTTGTGTGTAAAACTTGTATAAATTTGAAAGAATTCACTTTATTGCCGTGCAGAACAGTAGTTAGTTAACAACATTTGATTAAGTTGACTTAGTTTCATTTTGTTTTAATTTAAATACACCATTAGAGGTGAATTATTTTATTGACTAGTCGAAGAGAAAACAATTTGAAGTGTCGCTTTAACGGTTTAGCGTTGGTGATTATCACGATAGTTTATGCGTGTGAATAAAAACATGCCTAGGCGATGTGTGGTAATACTTGTTGTTGGTGTTGTTGCATTTTAATTTTTTCTATAAAGATGTTTGAGACGTTATAAATCAATTCAACACATTGTAGAATATTTTAATATATAATTTGACGGTTAGTAAAGCTGAGTTATTATATTTCATTTTATTATTTTTCAAATTATTATTATTGAATAAAAATTTCTTTTTTGTTATACAACTTTCCATAAATTATTTCTACCGCTTAAAGCCACGATGCCCTCTTTCTGGGAAGTGGTCCAGGCGAAGAAACTTCGAAAAAGGTCGTATTTATGGTTCGAATGAATTTATATTTGGAACATAGATATTTGCCCAGTTTTCCGAATAGTTGAACAGGGCCAGATATATTGAAATAATTTTTAAGTTTCATGCGAACGATGCACAATGGAGTAAAAGTGCTTAAAACACGCGCATTGTTTATTTCATGTCATAATTTCAATATTATTGATGATACGAGGGGAATAACAAAACAACGGTCGGTTGGTGATTTTCAATTTGTTTTTGTTAAGTCCAGAAACAGCAAATGTTTTGAAATTACTTCATTAGTCTTCCCTTCAAATTTTAGAACAATCGGCTACAATGTAGACAAGAATTCGAAAGATGGCTGAGAATAGATCGGACGAAATTCCACCACCAACGCAAACAGATAGTCGCCCTGCGATTCTCTTCGGGTCACGGCGTAATTTAAAGGCAATACAAATATTCAGTAAATACGAAATTGCATATGGAACGATTGCACCGTCTTTAGAGACTATTTCTAAGTGGTTCCGTAGATTCCAGACTGTACCTTTTTTCCCAGTTCGACTAAAATCTTCTACTGATGACGACGCTGTAGCTCTGTTGAAGCCCGAAATCGCCGAAGATCCACGATTGACCCAAGAAATGATTGCCAATGAATTGGGCTTAAATGTCATTGCTGTTTACCTAATATTACGTAATCCAGATTATTACACGATTAAATCTCTTCGATGGGTACCACGAATTTTAAATGAGGCCCCAAAAGAGCCTCGAGTGCATTTTGCTCAAATTTTCCTAAACAAATTTGAAAATAGTCAGTCTAGCAATCTAAGAAAAGTCGTTACTGGTGACGGATCTTGATTCTAAAAGTACGATCCAGAAATCAAACAGCAGTCCATAGTATGGAGCCCAACAGGACAAAATCCACCCGTTAAATCTAAGCAATAAAAATCAACAGCAAAAGTAATGATGTCAGTTTACTTCACCCGATCAAAAATCGTGGCTCCTATTCCACTGGAAAAGAGTCAGACGGTAACTGCGAAATGGTACACCGAGGAGTGCAGGCCGAAAGTTTTCCACCATTTGTTGGAAAACCGGAAATTATAGTATTTGCGACGCTACTTTTTACATCATGACAATGCGCCATCCCACACTGCTGAAATAACGTGCAATTTTATTGGGATCTCTGGTTTCATACCAAACTTATTCCAGCAAATAATGCGCATCCCCAAAGCCGACATACCCCGTATCTTGGAGACGTTCACCGATGAAGCTATTACTGCTGTCGAACAGATTATCGCAGAAAATCCGAATAAGTCCATCTGCCATCGCGTGCAACAATTAGAGTTGTGTCCATCCACTTTATGGAAGAATTTGCAAAAACAATCTTGGTTTGTCGGCCTACAAAATATAACTCGTACAAGACCATCAAATGGGTCGCCTACAACGAGATGGCCAACGATAACGATTCTCTCAAGAAAATTTTGTACAGCTAAGGAACACATTTTTGGTCGAATGGGTATGTTAATAAACGAAATAGTCGTATTTGGTGTGATGAAAACTCACAAGCTGCTCTTAAGACGCCGTTGCATTAGCTGAAAGTCACTGTTTGGTGTGCTCTATGGGCAGAGGCAGTCAGTGGTCTATATTTTTTCATAATTAAACTGGCTGTAATATATTACAGTCAATAGAGAGCGTTATAGGGACATGGTTATTGACTGATTTGGGGGATGTTCAAGTGGGGTCGACCTTGGGTTTCAACAAAACGTCGCTACATGTCATACAGCCAACGAAAATATCAATTTATTGTGGGAAACTTGTGGCATGGCCTCCAAGACCTTGCAATTTAGCACCACTATACCATTCTTTGTGGGGCTCTGTAAAGCCGCTTGTCTACGCAGATATCGATTGACGACTTTATCGATTGGAATTTATGCGTTCCAACCGCGGCGGTCACTTGCCCGAGACTATTTTTTATAACATCATGGCAAACGAACCCTGATAATTGGAATAGAGCTAAGTTCTTGGTCACCGCAACAAATGATATGAGTTTTACTTCTTATTGAAAACCACATATTTAAAAATATAAAGGCCGTTTTAGCCGTCTTATTGTCGCGGTTATCTTTTTCACTCGATCCTCCATTATTTTGAAAAAAAAAAAAATCTTAATAAATTGATTATGATGTTCTTCAAATCAAGGTTTGTTCCATTGGCAATTATTTTTGGTACACTTTCGTTTAAAGAGAATTCTGGAAAAGAAATCTAAAAATATTATTTATTATTATTTATTTAAGTACGAGGTGTGACAATTAAGTATGAGATTGATTTCATAAAAATCGGATATTTCAAAATTAGTCTACAACTCTGCCATCGCCTTCAAACCAGTCCCCTCGGGCAGCTATACAACGATTCCAGCGCGTTTTCCATGCTTCGTAACGTTTGCAACGCGTCGACTGGGTTATCCGCGAGAACCCTCGTCTAGTCTGCCTGGATGTCTTCAATCGACGCAAAGTGGGTTCCTTTGACCACGGATTTTGTCCTAGGGCACAAAACAAGTCCAAGGGTGACATATCAGGCGAATAAGACAGTTGTTACAGTACCTTAAGAGCTCAAATACTGTGACACGCTAGGGGCGGTGTGGCACGGCGCGTTGCCGTGATGAAGTTCTCAAAATATTTCGAGTACTTGTCGATAGTAGACTTGATTTACGGCTTACCCCGATGGAAGAAATGCTTTGTGGAGGATTTCACGGCTATCAAAAAAGGCAAAAATAATCATCGTTTTCACCACCGACTTGCTCATACGAGCTTTTTTCGTGCGGGGAGCGTGCAGAGACAACCGTTGTGAGCTTTGGGTTTGGTTTCCTGGTCTGAGAACACTATCACCAAGCTTTTTTTTTTAAATTTTAGCGTACGTTTCCGAAGCTGTTTCGCCCGATTTGGCACAAAATTTTATCGCGTCGCGTTGTACTTGATTTCATTTTTCCATTTTCTTGACGAGCACCACGAACACATATTTACTCAACACGACACGGCAGGTGAACTAAACAAGCCAGAGCGATGGTAAATATATCAATGGAGAGAAGAAGGATCCCGGGAGAAGGGAAAGGCAGTTTCAAGGTCGGAGGGTTACCACAATCGAGGCAATATAAAGCGTCTCCGTACGTAATTGTCATAACTCGTACATTCTGTATTAGAAATAAAATATTTAAAATTTAATTTATTTATTACAAAAAAGTGAAAGTTGTTCGAAAATTCCGAAAAATACAATAAAACGCCTCAGCCACCTGTAAATCGCTGGGTTAAATTTTTTTTTAATATTTATTTCATTTTTTAAATGATGCCGTTAAACAAAAAATTCTAATTGCTTTCAAGCCAAAAAGAGATTTACATATATTTGATTAACAATTAGAAAGTACGCCAGGCATGAAGCAGCCAAAGGTGGTTGGTTATGTAAGAATAAAGAGCGACTCATTTACATAATGCAATTGAGATTTTTTTTTGCATTTTATGTGTGTAGAAGTGTGTGCTTATTGTATTAGAAATATATGGAAATATTTTATATTTTTTCGTAATTTTTTTGTAATTTTTTGTGCTTTTAATGCAAAACAATTAATTCGTAAATATTTCTTAATTATCGACAAGTGAATGTTTTTTTGTTTTTTTTTTGTTTTTTTTTTGCGCTGAATAAAAGTGAACAAAAACAATTTTCGAAAGTGCCCGATGCCACGCTGGCTAAAAGAGACAAAGTGCCTCGCTTATTGTTGTTGTTGGTTGTTGGTTGGTTGTTTTGGTTTTCGTTCGCTTTGTTATTGTTATTCGCAAAGAATTAAAAGTGTTAAAGAATTAAGGTTAACTGCAGCGACAAGAACAATAAAAACAATAACAAAAAAAAAAAAAAAACAGCGAAGCAAGAATTATGTGCAAGAAGTTTGTAAAAAAAATTGAAGAAAAAAACAAAAATATTAAAAAGATGAGCAAAAAAAATCGCATGAAATAAAAAAATCGCTGCCGATGAGTACCTGCATGCCAACCAAACGCTGATCTCAGGTAGACTTTGTGCGCAAACTCGTTAAACCCGAAAACAGCTGGGTGTCCGCTGGTCGGTCAGCCAAACGCGCCTCTAGACAGCATGTAGGCCGCATCTGCTGTATGTGTCGGTGCGTTTGTATGTACGCTCCTATGTAGCGTGTGGCCGAGATTAAGCGACGTTCATTGTGCGCAAATTGGCTTAATTAACCTATGTTGCTGTTGTTGTGTGTGATTTTTTTTTTTGCCATTTAATTTTTTTTTTTTAAGTTTCCATCACAGAAAAACAAGGAAGAAAACAGCGAAAATGGGGAAATTAACTCTCGCATCATATAAAAGTTGTGCGAAAGTGAAGAGAATGACTTAGTTTCACGGCTCTTGTGCGTTTGAAAGCAACGCACGTTCGATTACGCATGCGTAGCAAGTGATTTTGCCAGCAAGGTTTGTACACAAATCCATAAGAAAATTTTTAAAAATATTAAACCAAAACCCAAAAACTCCTTGCAGATGCATTTTCTCGTCTTTATTACACTCCTATTTGCTGCCACGGCTTTTGCGCAAACTGTACACGAACCCATGACTGAGCATATCTACTTCTATCCACGACCGGGCGATGAAGCATCTCATCAGATCTACGTCAAACCCACAGATCTTATAACGCGGCATCGCTTGCAGTTCGTAACGGACTGGCCTTACCCCGGCGTTATGGGTGGGCAAGTACAGAAGCCCATAGATTTGGTCGCTACCGCTGAGGTGAGCTCGCAGCCCATCTACTTTCGCAAACGGGACAATCTCGCCAACGTTAAGCTTAAGTCAAAACAAAATATTTTATATCTACAATTACCAATGTTAACCCCAAGTAGCCGGCATAGTCCGAGTGATGCTGAGAATAAAGTTTTATAAAAAAATAAACTGTTTTTTTTTTTCAAAAATATAAAAACTGCAATTTTATTTCGTTTTTAGTATAATTCTTTCCGGTTTTCTACTGAACACATACAAATAGACATAAAATAGTGTGTGCGCCAACTTAACGACGTTTGCGGTAGATGTAGCCACCGTTGGCAGCATAGGCAGTATCGATACCTGAAGCAGCAGCCACTGGAGCGGAGTAGGAAGCAGCAGGAGCGGAGTAGGATACGGATGGAGCAGAAGCAGCGGCAGAGTAGCTTGGAGCAGAGTAGCTAGGTGCGGAGTATGAGGCGGAACGAGCTGGAGCAGCGTATGACACACTTGGAGCAGAAGCAGCGGCAGAGTAGCTTGGAGCCGAGTAGCTAGGAGCTGAGTATGAGGCGGAGCGAGCTGGTGCAGCGTAAGACACACTTGGAGCAGAAGCAGCGGCGGAGTAGCTTGGAGCGGAGTATGAGACGGAACGGGCTGGAGCAGCATACGATACACTTGGAGCAGAAGCAGCGGCGGAGTAGCTTGGAGCCGAGTAGCTTGGAGCTGAGTATGAGGCGGAACGAGCTGGAGCAGCATATGATACACTTGGGGCTGAGGCGGCGGCAGAGTAGCTTGGAGCCGAGTAGCTTGGAGCTGAGTATGAGGCAGAACGAGCTGGAGCAGCATACGATACACTTGGGGCAGAAGCAGCGGCAGAGTAGCTAGGAGCTGAGTATGAGGCAGAACGAGCTGGAGCAGCGTACGATACTCTTGGGGCAGAAGCAGCGGCGGAATAGCTAGGAGCTGAGTATGAGGCGGAACGAGCTGGTGCAGCGTACGATACACTTGGAGCTGAAGCGGCGGCGGAGTAGCTTGGAGCCGAGTAGCTAGGTGCAGAGTATGAGACAGAACGTGCTGGTGCTGGTGCAGCGTACGACACACTTGGTGCTGAAGCGGCAGCAGAGTAGCTTGGTGCTGGAGCTGAGTATGACACTGAACGAGCTGGTGCAGCATATGAAACACTTGGGGCCGAAGCAGCTACCGAGTAGCTGGGTTCAGAGTAACTGGCATGCTGTGTGCTGGCAGCTGGAGGCAGGTACTCCGATGAGATGGAGCTAGCTGCGCCCGATGGTGGCAGATAGGTGTTGCTCAGGTGGCTGACATCAGCAGCAACGCTGGCAATAACGGCGAAAGCGATGGCGGCAAAGAATTTCTGTAAGGAAAGCAGTTTTTAGTGACTTTATCCAAAAATAAAATAAAATAAACAATAATAAAATAGACATTGAAATACATTAAATTTAAAAATAAAAATGTAAGTATTATTATAATAATAAAAAAATTTTGTTTTTTAGTTATGACTTGGAAATATAGCACATATACACATATAATATATTTATAAATGTTTCGTTTTTATTCAATATTTTTTAAAAAGCAATGAAAAAATATTGAAGCTTAATTATAATTTTGCTAAAAATTCTTAAATATTTTAAATATATTATTTTGAACTTTTCAATATTATTTAAATTTATTTTAAAATATGTTTCAAGAAAGTTTTCATAATATCTTTTTTGAAAAAAAATTTTTTTTAGTTATAGGCAGTATAAGATCTGTGTTCAAAAATTTGTACAAAAATTTTCTAAAAACATATTTTTGACTTATTTGTTATTTTTGATTATTAGTAAAACAGTTATTCAAAAAATTGTTTTTATTATATCGATATTTTGTCTTATAAATTTTTAATAAAATACTTTTTACTACGAAAAAAATTCGAAACTTATTAAAAAATTTTTATAATTAAAATATTTCATTTTCTCTAATTAGGTTGTAATGAATTAGTTTTTTTAATTAATATTAAAAAAATATTTTCCAACAATTATTTTTTTAACAATAAAATACTTTCTAATTATAAATTTGGTGGTTAATAAAATATATATAATAAAAATATTTTTTTTTTTGTGAAAGTATTAATTTTTAAGTTTAAAAAAATAGTAAAACTACGCAAGAATAGCAATAAATAAATAATAATAATAATAATTAAAAAAAAAATGGAGTTAACACAAAGGAATAATATTTGCTTAAAACCGTGTGTTTCCAATTAATTTTCCAAATATATATATATAATAATATTTGATTTTTTCTTATAAATATATTTTTTTTAAATTATTTTTTATGCACATTATCACTTTCGGTTGCACTTTCTTCATTTCAATTTTTTTTTCTAGAATTTTTCCAAATATTTGTCGCACTAACCATTTTTAGTTTACTTGAATCTCCGTTAACGGCTGACCACACTCAAGAGCTTTGAACTAATGACACACTTCCGATCACCGGCATATTTATATACATTTCACCGACTAAGTCCACCAACAAATACTGTATCTAAAATTTAAATGCAAATTCGCCCAACGCATAAGTTTACCAAGAAGTATGCTGTTATTATGCAAATTTACCGCAATGCGAGCGTTTTGAATCCTGTCTGAGTTCTGACATTCATCTCGTTCTATAAAAATAAAAATAAGTAAAAATCGTAAAAAAAAGTAATCATCCCAGTGACTAGTCACTAATCACCAACAAAAAGCCGGTAAGCAGCACCTTTAAACCATGTACATACACGTATCTACATACATAATACATATAAATATCTCGGTATTTTATTATATAATACACTCACACTTTTATGCGAACATGTACTTGAGTATAAAAAAATTTTTGCTAAAAAAATACAAAAAAAAATTTAAATCGACGCAAAATCAAAATATTGAAAAAAGTCAAACTCGATTAATCACCGACGACTACTGCTGAGTTTGGCCGGCGGCGGCGTGGAGGAGTAAAGTATTTCGCGATTTAGCAAACCCGAAAGTTAATGGTAAATATAAACTACAGTTAAATTTAAAAAGGGAAAAAGTTTTAATGAAATTAATTATGAATATACCTATATATGTGAATAAACACATATGAATTCTTTATAGACTTGATTTATGCCTTTCTGGGCTCTTTCTTTTGCTTCTTAATTTTATTTTTCTATAAAAAAGGGTGATTTTTTTTTAACTATTATCTTTTTGGCAACGTGTTTTGTATCACTGTCAAACATCTTCAATTTGGTCTATTAAACCATGAATCGTCTCACAAGCGAACTACGCTTGCAAATTATTGAATTTTATTTTCAAAATGCGCGCTTCGAAGCTCATTTTTGGTTTAATGAGTGCGTAAGTGCGCAGAATTATCAATTTTGGAGTGTAGATCAGCCAAAAGCGTTGCAAGAGCTACCAATGTATTCAGAAAAAGTCACAGTTTGGTGCGGTTTATGGGCTGGTGGCAGCATTGGATCGTTCTTCTTCAAAGATGAAACGAATCGTAACGTAACCGTGAATGGTGAGCGCTACCGTGAGATGATATCAAACTTTTTTTTGCCCAAAATGCAAGAGCTTGACTTGCATGACATGTGGTTTCAAACAGATGGTGCCTCATGCCACACAGCACACGTAACAATGGACTTATTGAGAGGCGAGTTCGGTGATCATTTTATTTCACGTTCGGAACCGGTCAATTGGTCGCCTAGGTCATACGATTTAAAGCCTCTAGACTATTTTCTGTGGGGCTATGCTAAATCTAATGTCTATACAGACAATCTCTTTTCAATTGGCGTATTGGACGACAACATTGAAGCATTTATTCGTGGGATACCGACCGAAATGTTGGAAAGAGTATGCCAAAATTGGTCTAAGCGGATAGACCATTTAAAGCGCAGTTGCATGAAATAATTTTCAAAGATTTTTCTGAATTGTATGCATTTTTTTAACTTTTCCACAACTCTTAAAAAATCACCCTTTATATATTTTTATATATATTTTATTTTATTTTTTTTTTGGTTCACGGGTTGTCAGCTATTAACTATTGTTTAATGATCATCAAGAAATATAAATATACTAATAAAAACTGTAACTACGTCAGTAAACAATGCAACAAAATTGTTGTTTCTTTAGAATTTTCTTGTGTCTCTTTGCCTACTACGGATTTTACGCTGTAAATAAAACTCACCACAGGCTATATCTGTTTCTGTTCACCATTCTTGTGAAGCGCAGTTTACTGACCCCTAATTTCATTTATGAAGGGAGTTTGAAATTATTTTATCCCGCAAAAGAAGCTACGAAACGATCTGCTATTTGTATGGGCACGAACCAAAGGCCTGAAAAGGGTTTAGGGGAGAAGCATAAATGTGGTTATTGCCATATGTGGACTTAATACATGGTAGAGTTGGAGTCGATTTTCTTTTTTGGCACTGGACTGAAAAGATGTGTGACTTGTCGGAGTGTGAGTCTACGTAAGACTTCATAGATGGCTTTGTTCGTCGTGTTTAGGCTGGTTCTAACATAGATGAAATCGCCTACAACTTCAGAGTTAAGTTTGTCAGCTGTGACATGAGAGCAGAGTAGAGAATCGAGGCAGCACCTATTCGTGCTCTCAAAAGCAGCTTTTAATCTATTGAATATTTGTTCTTATATAGATTTGGTCTACGAAAAAGAACAGTACACATTTACACAGTAGATTTCCAGTCTTAGTTTATTTTTGTATATCACGAAGGCGATGGTGTCCATCTTCATTGATTGTCAGAGCATAGGAGCATCGAAGGAAATAAGATAACCAATGAATTGGGTAAAGATGACGTCCTCTTAGAACAAAAGTTAACTTTAGAGTTGTCTGTCCATCTCAGAGAACAGAAAAGTGCACAAGAAACACTTTGTAATGTCAAGCAAATAAACTCTGGGAGCAAACGAGGGGCTACAGTATAAAGAAAATTACGTACAAAATATACGAGGCGAACCTTACTAAGTTCTTATTACTAGCGACAAAGAGCACAAACTCCAGGCTGCTGGTAGAACTATGAACTGTACATTTTCTGTTGGCATCTGATAATTCCAAAATAGGTTTGTTTGATAACAAAATAATTAGGAAATGCAAAAAACCGGGTAATGTACGGAGGCTATAGTGTACCCTAAATGAGAACGCCAGGCGTTGAGAAGATAGAGATTAAACAATTTGCTGAGGAGGTGAACCAGATACAGACAAATCGCAAATAACAAATATTCATCAAACCGTGAACTCAATAAGATGTCTAAAAGTACTAAACTTTGGTGGCGTATAGTGTTTCTGATAATACCATGGACGTGTAATTGTCTCAATGAGGCTCCCGTACGGGTTTATTAGTACAACCCAACCTAACCTAATTCGAAGCAGAGTTAACCTAAACCTAATCTTATTTTTTGAGTTAAGAAAGGTTAGAAAGAACAATTCAACATTACGAAATTACAAATACATAAAAAATAATTAATGTTTTGGGTCAAGGAAAATAAATCAATCGCCTTGTTGCACAGTGTAACCGCTAACATATGACTGAGTGACTTTTATTAGCCTCTATTGAGTTCATACCAAAATTATCATTTAAGGTCTGTTGACGCAACACCAAACCACACTTTGATGACTCTGCTGTTGCTCATTACGTTAAAGATTTTTATCAGTTAATTTTGCACTAGTTGATTTACTAGTTTCCGTGATGGAAGTGGAAAGTGCTGTTCTGCTTCAAGCGGCTCGGAATTCAAAAATTCGGATATGCATTTAAAATGCTAATTACGCCGAAGAGTTGCGAATAGTTAGGTAAACTGGATTATTTTTATTATTTTCAACTAAAACTTGATAGAATCTGGACTTGAGTTGAACATACATTCCAACAGCAACCGAAGACGGAGGTTGCAGTTGGCTCCAAATGAAACTGTCAAGTATACCCGTGTTTAGTATCTCTACGCTCTCCAAGGCGAGCAGTTGTTGACGCTTGCCTTATTCGAAATTAATCCCTTTCTAAATCTTCTGCTATAAATCATTCCAATTTTTACTTTTTGCTTTCCCTCCACTCAGCTGGGTTCGTTGGTGATTAATTAATATAAATACAATTTTATGTTAATTTTTTTTTTATGAAAATTATAAAAGCGATAAGGTTTTATTTACAAATGAGGTAATAGGAGTTACCCAAAATTATTATGGTACAAAAAAAATTTGACAGCAAAAGGCTGACATCATGGCTTAAGCAGGTGTATGAAGAGCTCGTAATGGTTAAATGCAAAAAGTGTGATTACTACAGACAAATAAAGCGCTCAACATCAGCGACAACTAAGCGCACGTGTGCCTACGCAACTTATTTCCTTCCTTCTACTAGCATTTAGCATCTTCCTTGAAATTTTATTTCACTTTTCTATAGACGTAGCCGCCATTGCTACCGTACTCGGTGCCGGAATCTGAGTGGCTCACTGCCGCCGCTTGCGCCGTAGATGGAAAGCTTGGGCCAGTGTGTGTAGAAACTACTGGAGCAGCGGGAGCTTCAAAGTGGGACGAGTGGCTTTGATCATTACTCCCCGATTGATAGCCAGATGAGCTTCGCTCAACGGATCGACTTAGAATGGCATCACCAGAATGACTGCTGTGTTGCACTGGTGCCGGAGCTGGTGCAGGAGCTGAGTAGCTTTGTTGTACTGGTGGTAAATATTGTTGACTGGCAGTTGGATTCTGTGGAGCTGGGGCAGCGTAGGACTGAGAAGCAGGCGCTGGGGCGGAGTAAGATGGAGGAGGCGCTGGAGCCGCATGAGAAGGAGCTACTGGTGCAGAGTATGATGGTGAAGCCGGAGCGGAGTGTGACGGCGCAACTGGTGCTGGATACGATGGCGCAGCAGGTGCTGGATACGATGGAGCAGCAGGTGCTGGATACGATGGCGCAGCAGATGCTGGATACGATGGTGCAGCTGGGGCATGTGATGGTGGAAGATATTCATTGCTAACTGGAGCAGGAGCAGCGTAGGATTGCTGGTGAGGCACTGGGAATGAAGCTGTATACTGCTGTTGGCTAATTGGAGCTGGTGCTGGAGCCGAAAATGATTGATGATTAACCGGAGCAGGTGCTGTGGCTGGCGCTGGTGCAGCATAAGATTGTTTTACTGGAGCTGGTGGCAAATATTCATTGCTGACAGGAGCTGGTGCCGCTGGAGCTTGTGCAGAGTATGACTCTTGTGCTGGCCCTGAGTAAGATGCCTGAGCAGGAGCAGCAGGTGTTGAGTACGATTGTTGTTGGACGGGGCCTGAGTAAGTAGGACCATTCGGAGCTTGAGATGGAGAGGAGTAATCATTACTTCCGTGAGCTGGAGTGAAAATTGCTTGTGGTGCTGGCGCAGGAGCGAGAGCTATATGCGACTGCTGGGCTGGACTTGAATAGGATTGTTGCGCTGGCGCTGGACCTGAGTATGACTGTTGGGGTGGCAAATATTCAGAAACTGGTGCAGGAGCGGGAGCTGCAAAACTCTCTTGAGGTGGAGCAGGTGCTGCATAATTTTGCTGAGCTGGAGCTTCGCTACCATGGTTATATGAGCCTGTATTTCGGTTATATTGCGGCTCCAACTGAGGTTGGTGCTCAGCATGAGCTGGTGCAGATACTGGTTTTTCATGATAGCCTGACGCAGTTTGCACTACAGTTTGGCTAAGGTCGCCGACTCCAGAATGATGATGTTCGTGTACATGTGGAGATGTGCTAGGACCAAACTGCTGAGGAGCTGAATGCAACTTAGGGGCTGGTGCTGTTGCTGGTGGAGTGTATACGTTAGATACTTGGGGAGCTGGTGAGTATTTTCGTTGAGCAGGTACGGAATGAGATTGTGAAGCGGGTCCACTGTAGCTACGCGGCTGAGGTGCTGGTGGTAAGTATTCATTAGCTGGTTGTGGAGCAGCAGCTGGTGCTGAGTACGATTGAGATTCTGGCCCTGGAGCTGGGGCTGAATAGTTCTCCTGTACAGGGGCAGGTGCAGCTGGAAGAGAAGGTTCCGATGATGGTGGCAAATATTCGTTAGATGGCGTAGGAGGGGGTGAATAAGATTGCTGAGGAGGTGCCGAATAGTTTGGTACAGTTGGTGCTGAATAGCTCTGTTGACCACCACCTGAATAAGATGAGCTAGGGGCAGAGAACTGAATAGGGGAAATGTATTGTTGGAGAGGCGTTCCTGCTGGTGCTGGGGATCCATAATTATAGGAGCCATCATTTTGTTGAGCTTCATGATGGTGTGCAGCTGGACCTGGCGCTGGTTCTGAAAGTAATTGTTCTACGGGAGCTGGAGCTGGTGCAGGCGATCCATAATTGTAAGATCCATCATTTGGTTGGGCTTGGTGATAGTGTGGTGCTGGTGCTGGAGCTGGGGCCGACGAAACGTAAGATTGTTGTACTGGGGCTGGAGGTTGCGAAGCGTAATTGTAAGATCCATCATTTCGTTGAGCTTCATGATGGTAAGGTGCCGGTGCTGGAGCTGCTGTAAGCGCTTGAACGGGAGTTCCATAAGATTGCTCCACTGGAGCTGGTGCTGGTGCTGTGACCGGGGAGCCATAATTGTAAGATCCATCGTTTTGTTGAGTTTCGTGATAGTGAGGTGCCGGTGCTGGCGAGCCGTGATATTGTTCTGCAGGAGCGCGAGCTGAGATGGATGGCGCATAAGATTTCTGTAGTGGAGCTTCAGCTGGGGCAGGTGAAGCGTGATATTCTTCTATTGGAGCGGGAGCTGGGGCAGGCGAACCGTGATATTGTTCTACTGGGGCGCGAGCAGAGGTGGATGAAGCATACGTTTGCTGTACTGGGGCTGGTGAAGTGTGATATTCTTCTACTGGAGCAGGCGCTGGTGAGCCATATTTGTAAGATCCATCATTTTGTTGCCCAACATGTTGTAGTCGAACTGATTGTGGCTGAGGCTGGGACTGGTAGTTAATCTGAGGCGTCTGGTAATTATTTTGTGGTGCTCGATAGTTGCTCTGCGGGGCTTGGTTATTGTACGTACCAGCTCCTTTTTGGCCATTTGATTGTCCCTGTTGGATTGGGATAGTTTGGCTTACCGAGAAACTTGCAATGGGTATGGATCTAGTGATTTCAATACCACTCGGTAGAAAACTTCTTTGTGGGTGTTGTGGTTGTTGTTCATGTTGTTGTTGTACCGGTGGTTGGTAGGGTGCAATTGCGGTGTTTTCTGTAGCATCATGTCGGCTTGGTGGTAAATATTTATTGTTGAGCAAATGACTAACATCGGCGTTAACTATTTGGCTGGCTACCAGCGAAATGCTGAGTATCGCGAATAATTTCTGAGAGTGAGTGAGAGGAAGAGAGAAAGAGAGAGAAAAGTATAAGTACCATTTTTGAAGTATAAGAATTTTAATATAATTTAATAAAAAAATGTATTTGTTGCCTTAACCAAAAATATTAATATTTTAGCGATCAATCTCAATAAATATTTTAATCTTTTTAGCTCAAATCTTTTATTGCTCACTCTCTGCTAGTAAATGAAAAGATTTTTTTTTTTTTTTAATTCAAATAATTAGCTCCAGTTTTTTCTGATTTTGGTTTAAGTACATAAATTGAAATTTATTTTATTTTATCTAATTTTTTTTTTTCTAATTTCAACAATTATGATAAAATAATTTAATTTTTATTTCAATTTATTTAATTTAATTTTTTTTATTATTGTAAATTTTTTTTTTTTAAATATATTAATTTAATTTTAAATTAATTTACATTGAAATTAATAATTAAAATTTAGTGTGACTTTAAATTAATTTATTTTTAAATTTATAATTAAATTTTAATGTTATTTTAGTTTAATTACTTTTATTTAAGTTTATTTAATTCTTTTGGTTTTACTTTAAATTGATTTTGCTTTATCTTTTTTAAAATAATTCAATTAACATTTATTTTATTTACTTTTATTTTAATCTTTACTAATAAAAGTTTATTTTTTTTTATTTTAATTTTATTTTGATTTATAATATTTTTTTTGGTAATTAATTGTGTTTTATTTCATTTTCTGTTGATTTTAACTTGTTTTAATCTGTTTTCATTCATTTAAGTAAAATAAATTTTTTCAATTTATTGTATTTCATTTTATTTATTTCTTATTCTTGTAGTATATTTATTTTAGATGATGTTATTTTTTTATTTTTTTTTTTTATTTTGAGTAAAATAAATTTAGGTTAATTTTAAGTTTATTTGCTCTATTACATTTTATTTTAGTTAAAATTATGTTTATTTATTTGTTGTATTCCTCTTGTAATTATTTTAAATTAATTTAATTTTAAGTTCATTTTAATATGTTTTTAGCCATTTAAGTTCATATTAAGTTTATTAAATTTATTTTTTGTTAAATTTCTTTCAAAAATTATTTTATTTCATTTTATTTATATGTTATTGTTGTTATGTTAATCTTGTTTTAGTTCCTTTAGTTTTATTTAAATTTATTTAATTTTTTTCTGTTTTATTTAAAATATTTTACTTTAATCTTATAGAAATTAATATTTTTAATAATTTTAATTTATGGTTTAATTTAATCTTTTTTTTTTGCTTCTTTCGTTTAATATTTATTTTTAATTTTTTTTTCTTCATTTTATTTAAAGTTTGTTTTATTTCATTTCATTTATTTATTACTTTATATAGTTTATTTCTTGACTTGTTTTATTTTCATTTTGTTAAAATTTATTTATAAGAAAACATTTAATTTTAAATTACTTTTGATACCATTTTGTGCTATAATATTTTACTTTATTTTATTTTTATTTCCATTATTTTTGTCCATATTGTTTTATTGAGTATTTTTTAAAATTATTTAAATTAACAATTTTGCAAACTTTCTTTCAACACACTAAATTAAGGTAAATTTCTTTTATTTATTTTGATTTTGCTAATCATGCAAGTTAGTATTATCTCTCGAATAGTTCATCACACCACAAGTACACAAACAAAGTGTGATTTTTTTTCTCTTAACTATTGCTACTGACCATCTTCACTGTGCTGCCACTGCGTGGTTAACTAGATGATTGAAGCTGTGCAACTGATACACCAACCCAAGACTCTTTACCATTTATAGACACACACCCTTCTCCAGATCAGCGGACGTCGCTGCACGCCGATTGAAATCTTAGTTAAGCATCTAAATGTGCGTACGGCCCAAACTAATTCAGTGCCAAGTTCGCGAACTCTGTGCCTGGTCTGCTATGCTAGCCAGCCCTGCGACGCTAAGGCAATAGCCAATAGTTACAACAATAACAACGCATTTAGCTACCGTTTCACACGATTTGCATTTTGCATTTCATTTTAGTTCAACTTAATTGGTTGATTATTAACATTCATAGACGACGAGAGCCCACAACCAGAAGACGCAACAAGATATCAACGCAAGGAAAATGCTTTACAGATTACATACGCCTCGACATGCAATGGCTCGGCAATCTTCCAATCGCCAATTCATTACCTGCGAAATGTCAAAGCTTGTGACTTGTCTGTGCAACGCTTGAAAAAAGAAAAATTAAAATTAAAAGTTAACATTTTACATTGCACATAATTAATATGATTAGCTCTTTTTGTTTGTATTGTTGTTTTGTTTAAGTTGCACATCCCATATAATTTAAACTGTTAGTTTTTTAGTTTATTGTCTAATTAATTTATTTGTCTTGCCCATCCTCCTCTTCCGATTGCTTCATTCATCTATTTTTTTGCTTCAGATTTTTTTTTAATTTCTTTAAATTAAAATTTTGGTTTTAAATGGTTTTGTTGCTAAGAGAAAGAAACACGCTATCTTAAATTGTGATAATAGAAATATTTTTGAGGCACACATATACACTCTTTCATGAATATCAAATTATTTAAGAGAAGAGGAGAGGAGAGGAGAGGAGAGGAGAGGAGAGGAGAGGAGATCTCACCAAACTAAAATCCCAAGTAGGGAATTTACATTCGGCCACCCTAGAAAACCCACAGCCTCCGTATGCATTTAATACCTTTCTCTTAAAAAAATCTTAAAGCTTGCAGCCTGAAATTTTAATAGGATTCGCAGCTGGAATAAATTGCCAAAAATTTCGTCAAACACTTGCAGCTGGTACTATACTGATGTAGTCAGGCATTGAGTTGGGTGTCGGAAGTGTCTTACTCGGTAGGATTTCTTTGTGTTGACCCAATCACTGAACTGCTAACGAGCTGAGTCGATTAAAAAAGAATAAATATGTAGAGCCTAAGCAGTTAATACCCATAAGACCTCTTCTAGCGCTCTACCATGCTGCGTCTAACAGAGTTTTTAAACCCGGACAGTGTCCAAAACTGATTTGGGCTTTTAAAAAGATATAATGAACTCCAGCGTCCACGGATTATATAATTGAACTGAATTGAATCTGGGTTGATACTCAACATTATGACGTGGAGCAATACTATATTCGGCCACAACACATTTACCAGCCTAGTTAATGTTGAATTCGTCGATATTAAAACCATTTTCCGTTCTGGCAAAGATATGTGTTTTCAGCAGCATGGGGCATTTCCGTCATGGATAACGCCTAGTCGCATATGTGTACGATCACTGCGCTTCCAGTAGATGTACTCCTCCCCAAGCTATTGACACTTAAGTGCACTCATAGTTGTTCTTTTATGAGAGGAATACTTTTTCACCTTAATAGGAATATGACGCCGTTTTCCCATCCCTGTTGGCTATAAAATCATTTTGATATTGACCCCACAATTAGTTTATTTCCCACTGTTTGCTCTCTGTGAATCTAACGGCTCGGGAGAGGTGCTAAAGTTTTAGCTGGGATTAACTTCCCTTGCTTATATTGATGAATTGGTTTGTGGCGGCTGCTCTGAGAGGACATTCTATGTCACTGCTGCCGCCGATGCTGGCAACGAAGTATATCCTAAGTTATTAAGGCCGCTTCCTATGGGGAAAACAATTTAACCTTACTTCCACGCTGGGCGGATTTTCAGACAGAGTTGTTCCTGTTATCATCGAATATCCAAGGCGCTTACTGTAAGCCATACAGGCCGGCATGTCCAGTCCAAATACGGGCAATAAGTGTTATCCAACGAAGTTAAGGTTTAGGTTTTTAAAATCCAATCAATGAAGTTATGAGAAATTAATCGCTTGGTCTTGTTTAACGATTATTCAAAAACTATCTTTTATGGCTATTAAATATTGTTGAGACCATTAACCCCGCAAGGGACCCCCTTTAGTATGCGAAGCACACTTCCAAAGTGTTTTGACAATCTTGGAACGATTCAGACGACTTTCTAACAATTACAATAAATAAAAAAAAAATAAAAAAAATATTGACAAGGTGAGTTTGAATTGACTTGGGTCCCTTTCATTTTCATAATTAACTAACATGTGCACATACAAGCCAAGCAGCACATAACGACTAAAGGTTAAATGTTAATTAGGTTGTCTAATAGTTCAGAAGTTAAACACACACTTTAATTAGTAATTAAAAGAGCAAACATTTTAATTGATTAAAGCGGAGTACGAAAAATTCGCTCGAATGCTTATAAATACTTACATATATATGTTTTTTTTATACTATATACTAAGTATATAAATGAAATGCCACTCCTTTCACAAAAATGGGCAATCAAACGCTCTCAGAAAAATAAGAAAACCAAATTAAAAAAATCTCAAATTGATATCCAATTAAAATGACATTTTATCTCGTATAGAAACGTCAAAATTAAGCATCTCAATAGTTGACCCGAATTAGGAGTCAATTTTCGATTTAACAAGCAAACCTACCGAAAAACACTTAAAATTATCTGCGCTCACAGTCGCCGCTGCACAAATCGAAAGTCGTAAATTTAATCAAATCAATTAACAATATAAAAAAATCTTTGCAAAATATTTTATTAATGGAGTTTGGAGTTAAAAACATATTTGTAAAAACGCAAAAAAAAAATTGTAAAAAACTCAAAAAGAAATGTTTGAAAAACCTTAATTGGTCAAAAATTGCACGAATTGTCTTGGACAGGAAGTCAAATATTCGCAAAATAGATTTGGCAAGCTTTTTCATGCTTATGAATGCATATTTTTTAGCTCCATTTCATTTATTTTTCACTTTTTTGCGTTACACGTGCGAAGACATCTGTTGCGTGGCTCGTGAACATAATCGCAATGCAAAATTTAATTTCAAACAAAATGCTTAAAAAACACTTAAAATAGTTTTTTTTTTTGCAAATTCATTTCTTGCATTATATCAAAAGAGCTTTTGTCATTTATAAATTTCAATTTGCATTTTTTCGCAAAAAATTGAGACAGGCGAAATTCGTAGTTAAAAAATTTGTACGCTACGGACGGCATGAAGAAACTAAAACAAAATAATTAGAATTGAATAAAATAAAATAAAAAAACTTAAATAAAATCTAATTAATTAAAATTACATTACATTAACATAAACTAAAATAAAATTATAAATAAAACGAATTTGAATTAAAATTAAACTACAAAAAACAACAACAACAACGAAAAAAAAAATTAACAAAATTGCTTAAAATAAAATAAAATAAATAAAAATAAAATGAAATAAAACCAAAAAATAAAGTAAAAAAGCGAAAAAAATATTTTAAAATAAAATTCAATAAACTAAAATTAATTACAATAAGATTATATCAAATACCAAAAATTTAGCAAAATAAATAAAATCAAATAAAATATAATAAAATCGAATAAAACGAAAGAAATTAATGTAAAATACAATAAAATAAGAATTAGAAAAATATAATAATAACAAAAGTAAATTAAAATAAAATAAAATAAAATAAAATAAAATGAAATAAAATGAAATAAAATAAAATAAAATAATTTAAAAAATATATTAATTTAATTGAAGTAAAATAAAATAAACTAAATGAAAATGAAATAAGGTAAAAGAACTTAAAACAAAATAAAAAATATAATAAAAAAATAACAATAAATCAAATTAAAAAAAAATTAATAATATGTTAAAAATAAAATAATATTAATTACAATAAGATAATATTAAATACAAAAAATTAAGTAAAACAAAATAAAATAAATAAAAATGGTTTAAAAGAAGAGAAAAATAAAACAAAATCAAATAAAATATAATAATGTCGAATAATATAAATAAAATGAAAGAAATTAATGTAAAATACAAAAAAATAAGAATAAGAAAAATAACATAATAAAAAAAGTAAATTAAATGAATTGAAATTAAACAAAACTAAATTAAATTTAATTAAATAAATAATAAAAATAATAAAATAACATAAAGTTAGAAAAAAAAATTGAAAAAATGAAAAAACCATAGAAAAATGAAATGAAAAGTAATGAAAATAAAATGAAATGAGATAAAATAACCCAAAAAAAAAAATTTATAAAATGTAAAATATGAAATAAAATAGAAAATAAATAATATTAAAATAAATTAACCTAATTGAAGTAATATAAAATAAAATAAATTAAAATAAAATAAGAAAAAAGAACTTAAAACAAAATTATAAATAAAATACCAAAAATAAGATAAAAATCAAATTAAAAAAATTTAATAATATGTAAAAAATAAAAAAACGTGAATAAAATAGCAAATAAAAACAAAATAATTTTTTAGAAAATAAAATAAAAACGAAATAAAATAAAATAAATTTAAATATTTAAAATTAAAAAAAAAAAAAACTAAATAAAACTAATTAAAATAAATAATCGAAAATTAAATTTTCATCATGACGCTTTAATTTTATATTCCTTTTTATAACAATTAATTATATCTGATTAAAAATTATTATATAATCATAATTATTTCCATATTCAAGCATTTTGTTGACATATGGCAAATTTCGTGTGTCAAATCAATTAATTACAAATTTATTACAATTAAATCGGTGCTGTGTTGAGTTATGATATTTAATCCGTAAAAGCCGTACTCGTTATATATATACAAACACACGTTTCTGTACGTATATAGATACATATATATAATTAATATGTTGTGGGATTTTTATCGTCTATTTAAATTTTTATTGCTCAAGGTCATATGTAAATGGCTATCAATCCGTACATACACACAAATGCAAATGTGTAAATTTGTTTAATAATCCACCTACTTACATATATTTATTTGCATAGGCAAAAACGTGCTTAGGCATATTCGATTCAAAACGTACATACATACATATGTATGTTAACATCTATGTGAATTGGACCACTGGAATTCATTTCATTGTATGCCTGGCTATATAATCTTATCGAATTAGGGTACTCCAATGAATGAAGAGATACAACAAAATGAAAAAAAAAAAAAATTAAATTAGAAAACTAATAAAAACATAGATGAGTGAATAAAATCAACAAATCGATAATAAATTTCATTGATTGGTAACCATTTTGACCATTTAGTTATGTCCAAGTCCAAGTAGGAAGTTTCACAGATTATTCAGATATTCACATCGACAGCAGATTAAGTGGCTTTTGATTCCAACAAATTTCGTTGGCCACAATATCTTTATAGAGTTCCACGATTTAGAATCTTTGACTGGAACAATTGTAAGTTCTATCTCGATGCTAAATGTAGGGTAGTTTGCTCAACACGAGCATTTATTTTGGTTGTTTGTTTGATTAGAGGTGATCTTCGTAATGAATTATTTCCATTTCACCACCCAAGCGAACCCATTTTTATATGGTTTGTGGCTTGGAGGCCCGAGGAAGACTTAAAGTCTCATTCAGTCGAGGGTTAGGTACTCGCAAAGGTAACGCTCAAGCGTTTTGGCGTCTTCTGAAGATAATGTCTCACGGACAGATACCTCGTCAGTACCCCTATCAGCATATAAACTCCTCTTTTACTTACTGCCAGCTAGAGTTTGATCTCTGTACTATATACGCTGACCCACAAGAAACTAGGCTGCCGAACCTTAAACTAAGATTTACAAATTTTTCTTCTCCTCTGACGATGGAGAAGCTCTTTCCATACTTCCTCCAGTGGGTACTGCAATGAATACCCACGAAACTTGACGTCTTTTAGACACTCGAACGACATGACCTAGTCATTGTGGACTCTGTCTCTTAATTCGTCGAACCATGTTAATTTGCTAATGCCAACGTATATGTCGAGCAGCTCATCGTTTCATCATTTGCGGTATTCAGTGTTGTCTATACGAGAAAGACCATAAATCTTATGCAGAGCTTCTTTTGGAAAACTCTTCATATCCACTCAACGACAAAGTTATCAACGACTTCAAAGTAATTACGGTCAGCAGTGACTCTCAGATTCGAAACGCGAATGCTTGTTTACAGAATATGGTAGGACGAACGCACCCGACGATGAAAGCTTAGTGTGATCTGCAAAATTCGTAAAAGGGTATGTGCTAGCTTCCGTGGGATTAGCCTTCTCAATATCGCATAGAAGATAATATCTACGGACTTAGTAAATAAATCATTAACTCGATATTCACCAGGCTTTAAATCTTGAGGAAAGAATCGATATATAACCTTTTCATTGACTTTAAAGCTGTCGTAGTAAATAACTGTCTGTATGTAGCTACGTATGATTTTGATATTCGCACAAAACTTTCACGGCTGCGTAAAATGTTGCTGCACAATATCCGTAGGCCAGTCAGTATTGGAAAGAACCTCTTTTTAGGATTACTTCTGCTATCTCTAGGCTTGATAAAGAAGAGTAGCGAAAGTGTCTGGCAGTAAACGAGGATAATACGACACATCTTCTGTTATCAAACAAACAGCATCGCACTTGCGTCTTGACTCTCACATCACTGTTGACAGTCATAACTTAAAATACGGTGAATAGATCTGGGAGTCTCGGTGAGAAAAGTTTTGTGAAGGATTTATGGTACTTTTTGCAACGCAACGATGAGATGTGCGTGTTAGTGATATGATGGTACTGACATAGCTCAGTGAACGAAGAGATATCGGCAATACTGGTTAGGTCATGCCAACTGAATAGATCAAAGCATTCTTCTCTGAAAGTATTCGATGCAGAACCGGCTGGAGGAAGCAGAGTAAGAGGAAGGCTTACACTTCCAACTGGCACCAAACAGGTAAGAGAAGGAAGGAGAAGAAGTGAATATTCCACCTCGGCCATGGGGTTTATAATGCTGTGACGAGGGATTACAGATAGGCAAATAAATATTTTCAATTTGTCAGCAATAAATTTACAAAACGAAATGACAAAACTACATTACGCACATAAAATGACCATGACCATAGCAATGAAACCTCGCACACATGGCTAATTACATACATATGTACTTCATTCATAAATGGCGATGAGCGAGTTGGCGAAAAAATATCAATAAAAAAAAACTTTTTTGCACAAACAGAAAAAATTACATGAAAAAATGTTGTTGGACAATAAATATTTTTTGCTTGTAAAACGGCTCTGTTAGATACTTCACTCAAGTGCGAGTGTTTGAGGTGTCAAACAAGGTTATAATAAAAATTTGTAAACAACGAACGACGACGATAAACATCTAACGACGAGAATGTTCGCCGACCGTAAGAGCATGCGAGTGAGAGTGCGCGAATGTGTCGGCTCAAGCCGAGGTCACAGAGTGCGTTGGCGTGTGGTAGTGAATGAAGAAATGGGTCACGAGTTGGCCACTTATCATTCAGAAATGTAAATAAGGCAATTTTTTTAAGACTTCAAGACACTTTTAGGCTGCGAAAATTTACGCTGAACCATTTTTTATTCACTTAGAGATTACGAAATTAAATCAAAAATGATTTATTAATGAAAACTTAGCGCACCTAAAAAAAAAAATTAAAATTCAGAAAAAATGAAATAAAAATATGAAACAAAAAATTAAATAAATAATTTATTCAAAACAAAAAATAAATAAAAATGTTTTACATCATTTTTAAGTGTTACACTTTCGCATTGTGTCGTGATAAAATGCTAATGGATTCAAGTCCAGACGAGTTCAAAAAATTATATGATTAGCAGAAAATGCAGAAGGAGTAGAGAAAGATGATGATTAAATCACGAAAAAAAATAAATTAAATCTAAAAATGCTTGGAAATTACCAAAGTATTATGAAGAATGCGATAAAACTATTTTGGTTTGTCGTAGACATAACCACCGTTAGTGCCATAAACGGTATCACTGGCGAGTGGTGCTTTTAGCACACGATTATTAGCTACAGGCTGTGGTGCGTTCGAATTTCCGGACTGTTGTTGAGTTGCTGTCTGATAGGGTACGCCTGGGAAACCTTGTCCCGGGAAGCCGTTGCCCGGAAAACCTGCACCTGGGAAGCCCGCGCCAGGAAAACCTTGCCCTGGAAAGCCTACACCTGGAAAACCTTGTCCGGAGAAACCTGCGCCGGGAAAACCTTGTCCCGGGAAACCAGCACCAGGAAAGCCTTGTCCCGGGAAACCAGCACCAGGAAAGCCTTGTCCAGGAAAGCCTTGCCCATTAAATCCAGCAGCAGGAAAGCCTTGTCCAGGGAAGCCTACACCTGGAAAGCCTTGTCCGGGGAAACCAGCACCAGGAAAGCCTTGTCCGGAGAAACCTGCGCCGGGGAAACCTTGTCCAGCAAAACCTTGTCCCGGAAATCCATAACCTGGATATTGTCCGCCGTAACTAGGATTCGGTAGATTAGCTGCGGGGAAGGGAGCGCCGGGGAAACCACCAAAACTTGGTTGAAAGAAAGGATCGCTAGCTGATTCACCGGAAGTGTTATCACTTGAAAGACTCTCCGGTGTGACTTCCGTAACAGCAGGCTCAATATCCAATGATTGCTCAACATCCTTTAACGCATGCAAGTTGCCATTGTTGGCTTCGTCGATTAACAACTCATCCTGCTGGATTTGTTGTGGTTGCGTTTGGGTGAGCGTTGCCGCTGGCTGGATCTGCTCACCTTGCAGTGCGGAGACGACGGGTGGCAGGTAATCACGACTCAAGTGGCTAACATCGGCAGCGCACAAAGCCAGCAGAGCGTGGAAGATAAAGATTTTGTCCAACTGTGGAGAAAAAGAAAGATGTACACACACACTCGCTGCTGTTTTAAAGATTATAGTATTTTTCGAGAAACTTACCATTTTTTTATTTAGAATAACAGCGCATGCGTAGCGCTTCCTAGTGGTGCTTTGTATGAATACTGAATTCTGTGTGCTTTAAAGATGCCGCTTTTATAGCCTTCCAATGCTGAAGAGTTCTTCTTCAACTCGTGTCATATATTCTTGGCATGTCTTCTAAGCTTTCTTTCATTTACGCAACTTTCTTATTATGCTAATTAATAGCCTAAAGTTTCCATAGTAAGAGACTATAATAAGATTCATGAAACCTTAAGCGTTGTCTGTGGGCTGCTGTAGCTGCTTCTTAACCGTTATTCTAATATTATGTCACATGATTTTGTAAGCAATTCTTAATTTGTTTTGACATAAATGGTTGCTCATCGAATTGACTTTTTTTTCATATTAAGTTGGAGCAGTAAAAAGTCCGATCCGAGTGCGATCCTCTTTAGGTGTGATTTTTGATGAATTTCAAATTAATGCTTGTTCCTCACTGATTGCTATCTGGCTGTACGTTTTATTAATCTCCTTCTTCATTGATTTTAGACATTAAATTTTACTACTGCTTCTTCTTCTGCTTCTTCTTTGTACTCAATTTACATACATACGAGTAGGTTTGATGTCTGTATCTAAATTAATGGTTTTTGCATAAATTTTTTATTACTCTTTTGGTTTACGCATCGCACCAAATGAGGGGAGGAAACAAGAGAAATAAAAGAGAATAAATTACTAGATAATTAAGCAAGTTTAGTGTATTTTTTTATTTATAAAATTCATTTATATAATTTTTTTTTTGTTTTTTTTGAGGTCTTTTTCTTAATTTAGTTAAAATAAAGACACCCAAAAATTCATTATTGAGCGCCTAAAAGTATATACAAAAGTGGGGTTATTTACTGTTTGAAAGTAGATTTGAAAAAAACTCAAATTTATTTTATTCGAGTTAAGCTCGTCTCAAAACACAATTTTAGTTTATTTTTAACAGGCAAAAAGACTAAAAATGTTTAGCGATTTTCTACCGTCAAGTGCCTGAAAAACCTTAAAATGTTGATAATAACGTGCCAACCAAGCTAAAAGGCAGCTAAATCAGGTTGAAAAAAGGCAAAAAAAATGGCAACACTGGTAACAAACTCGACTCGTTTATGAGGGTTATAACGGATGACAAATACTAGGTACATATGGTTAAGGCATAGAAATCGAAGCCCAATTGTCCAGTGCCAAGACCGGAAGTACGATCAAACGTCAAAATTTTCTTTTCGATTGACCATTCCTAAGCGGAACTATTACTGATCTCAAAATGAATTTTACGTATGAGCAACAACAAAAGCGACCGCTTGTTTACCGGCTGAGCTATTCAAATTTGGTGGCGAAGTGCTGAAAAAATGTACGATTATTTGCAATATTTAGTCGGATGAGTGTATTCGGTATTTCTATAAAATTTATTCGGCTGAGTAGAATACTATTGGACGGCCGCGATAGCCGAGTTTTACTGACATTCGAAAGGCTCGGGATTAAATGATGGTGTCGTCCTATCATTCCAAAAAATTAAATAATAAATTAAGATTTTTTTTTGGCGGTCGCCCCTCGGCAGGTTATGTCAACCCCTCCGAGTATATTTTTTTGACATGAAATGATGTCTTCTTATAAAAAAAACCATCAGCCATTCGGAGCCGGCTTAGTAGAAACTGTAGGTTTCTCCTTTTGTTGGAAAAACATCGAGACACATTCCACAAATTGGAGGTGGAGCTCGGACAAAAACCGATTAAGCGGTTGAAAAGCATCAGTCTAAAAAGCTAAAGCTACACCAAAGACTGCGTCAGGATAGATTAGGATCCCTTCTAGTATAACAATACCAAGCGAGGTTTCTGACAAGGTTAAACTTGTGATATAATTTCAGAGCTGAAGAGCTTTACATATAAAGTGACATCTTATATAAAGACTTGTTAGTTCATTTCCACTCTGAAACAGGGCAGGTCTGTGAGTGAATATTATACCAGATAGGGTGACTGTCACGACTGAGAAGTTGTAGACGATTTCGTAGAATCGCCAACAGCTTCTACTTTGGACTTAGTAGGTAAATGAAATGGAAAGTCCTCTACCGAAGGAGAATGACTATACTCTACAGGTTATTATTGGCAACGTCGAAAGAATGAATCAATGAAATAGCTGAAGGAAAAACCATGAGGCTTACAATAAATATTGAGACAACCTGTTCAGTGTCGAGAGATACAGCTGAGAGGGAGGACTTAAGATTTTAAGTGACCCTCTGTCACGCTATACTAGCACAAAGCTTTTGTCTGCGGTCTGTTTAGAGAGCATGTTTCCTGCATGAAAAGTCGTCCGGCGGATATCCTCGAATTGTATAATTTTCTTTGCTCCACCTAAAGAAAATTAATAACCAACGAACAAACTCAGAGAATGGGTGGTTATCACACTTATTTAAGGATTACTACTCTATCATTGTCCATGAGCAACCACCGTCTTCATCTGATATGGTTGTTTGGCGGACTTTTTCCTCTACCCAAAACTTCAATTTACTAATTCGGGGCACACGCTAACCTTACACCGGGCGGATGTGGTATCAGTTTCCACTTGAACTCTGTTAATTTCTAATGGTTTGTTAAAAAGTGTGGGGCTTGACGTTATCTTGATTGCATAACAAGTCTTTGCGATTGGCTTGACATTTTCTTTATTTCTTTGTTCTACTTCCCGGGACTTACGAAAGAGTAGAAAATATCTTTTAGGGAAAGAAGAGAAATAAGAATGGTGCACTATAAAAAAAATCCTAAGAAATTATTTAGTTATAGGAAACGGAGATCCCAACTTTAATAAACGAGGAAAAATGGTTGTGCAATTTTTATTTTTTATAACAAAAATGTATTTATTCGATTGAAAGAGTAATATTTACAACATGTTCTTCAAGAAGAATGGGATAACTGTTTGTGATCTGAAGTATGGATATATGACACATATAACTACAACATATGTATGTACAATATATACCTAAAGCAATTCAACAATAAACAAAATATTGCCAAGGTATACTATTTTACAACTAAAAATTGTAAAATCGCAGTTCCAAGCGATTTACTTTTTGCGGTAGACGTAGCCACCGTTGGATGCATACTGAGTGCCAACATCGCCAGCAGAGTATGATGGACCACCGATTGAATGTCCAGAAGGACGGCCAGCAGAGTATCCGCTACCGCTGTTGTAGGATCCTCCAGCACCGCTGGAGTAGCCGCCTGCACCACCGCTGGAGTAGCCACCAGCACCGCCGGAGTAGCCGCCTGCACCACCGCTGGAGTAACCACCAGCACCGCCGGAGTATCCGCCTGCACCACCGCTGGAGTAGCCGCCTGCACCACCGCTGGAGTAACCACCAGCACCGCCGGAGTATCCGCCTGCACCACCGCTGGAGTAACCACCAGCACCGCCGGAGTATCCGCCTGCACCACCGCTGGAGTATCCGCCACCGCTACCGCCTGAGGAGTATGATGGAGCGGAGTAGACTGGAGCGGGTGGGGAGTAGCTTTGAACAGGTGGTATATATTCGTTAGATGGAGCAGAGTAACCAGAGCCGCCGCTGGAGTAAGAACCACCACCGGAACCGCCTGAAGAGTAAGATGGACCGCCATAAGATCCACCACCAGAACCGCCTGAAGAGTATGATGGACCAGCTGGGTGACCACTAGAGTATCCACTGCCGCTGTTGTATGAGCCACCATCACCGCCAGAGTAGCCGCCTGCACCACCGCTGGAGTAGCCACCAGCACCGCTGGAGTAGCCACCAGCACCGCCATAGTAGCCGCCTGCACCACCGCTAGAGTAGCCACCAGCACCGCCAGAGTAACCACCAGCACCACCGCTAGAGTAGCTACCAGAACCGCCAGAGTAACCGCCAGCACCGCCGGAGTATCCGCCTGCACCACCGCTGGAGTATCCGCCACCGCTACCGCCTGAGGAGTATGATGGACCGGAGTAGACTGGAGCGGGTGGTGAGTAGCTTTGAACAGGTGGTAGATATTCATTAGATGGAGCAGAGTAACCAGAGCCGCCGCTGGAGTAAGAACCACCACCAGAGCCACCTGAAGAGTAAGATGGACCACCGTAAGATCCCCCACCAGAGCCGCCTGATGAGTACGATGGGCCACCGTAAGAGCCACCAATGGAACCACCTGATGAGTAGGATGGACCGCCGGTGCTTGGTGGAAGGTAGGATCTTGAGAGATGGCTGACATCAGCCGAAGCGAAGGCGACCAGCGCAAGTGTGGCGACGACAAAGAGTTTCTGCAAAGAAAGAGTTGAATATTAATGTGGATGGCAGCTTAGAACGTTGAGTTTCGCAATGTGGAAATTTTTTTAATGAACAAATTTTATATTTCACTTTAGTTCACCCACCATTTTGCTCCTTAGAGTACTGCGTATGTGTGTGGTTTTCAGAAAGGACGAGACTACTGATCCGTATGAAGAAACCGTTAGAACTGATGCTCTTCCACAAATTGTCTCAGCAATTTATACAAAAACTTTAGCTTACAAGCGAAATGTCTTTTTCGCTATAAAAATTATCTATCGCTACCGTTAAACGCATTGGCCGCTGCAGTCACATAACACTTAACGCAGCTACGTAACCATGAAGTTGGGCGACTGACAAACGAGTTTTTGCGAATTACATTAACTGCTAAACAGAAATAAGGTAATTAATGTATTCAAAACAGAAAGTGTAATAAAACTATCAAAGAAGAGTATGGGAAAAAGGGAAGAAAGAAGAAATAAGACAAAATCAAAATGCGCCGAATTTCTTCAGTTCATTTACTTTCAAAGTTTTTGTGAGTACTAAAAAGGAACTCAATTCCTACCTAGGCTAAGCTCCTTCCACCTCTTAACGGTTGTGTGATCTGTCTTCCATGAAGGTAGGATGCGATAAAAGAACGAGTGTCAATAATAGACTGAAGGTGATTTGATATCTAGTATTTCTACCATAATATTCGAATCTTGTAATCCTCCAAAAGGAAACATTCCAAACAGGGTGATGGTTCCGAAGACCTAACATCGATTCGGATCACTATTTTGTCGCAGCGAAGAGGTGCATATGTCTCTGTGCATCAAATAACGCCCAGTAACGTAAAAAAGCTGCAATCACAACAAATTGCCGAGCGGTTTTCACTTGATCAATCCGGTATAAGGGAGCTGTGGGATGGCATTCGAACTCTTTACACACAGCTGCAAACGAAGTTATTGCTGGCAAAGGTCACATAAACAGCTGCTACGATGAGGACTGCCATATAGCAGTGAAGAGAAAACATATTGCTTACCTCGCAACCTTGCGAGCGACCACAACACGGGCGGGATGGGATAGATACCGTGAGCTGAAGAGGGAAGCAAGACGCACTTGCAGGGAAAAAAAGAAAGAGACAGAAATGCGTTAGTATGAGGAGCTTGAGAAGCTGGACGACAAAGGTACCACTTGGAGATTTAATGAAAAGATATGGCTAACAACTTACGGAATGGTTCAAGACCAGACCAGAAGAGATCTAGTGGCGGTTGCCCAGAGTATACTGAATTTATGGAGGGAGCACTTCTCCTGCCTACTGAATGGTCGTGAAAATGAAATACCCGGAGATGGTGAACTTTAAACTCCAATCGATGGCGATGGAAAAGACGTTCCAATACCAGACTATGAAGAAGATCGAATAACAATCACCTGCTCAAAAAACGTCTAAGTGGCTAGAGTTGACGGCCTAAGGGCAGAGCTATTCAAACATGGCAATAAAGAGCCGAAAAGTTGCAAGCATCAGCTACTGTGCAGCATATGGTCAGACGAGAGCATACCTGACGATTGGAATTTAAGTGCGCCCTTCCCAATCCATAAAAAAGGGATTGCGCCAATTATCGTGGTATAAGCCTTCTTAATATTGTCTATAAGGTCCTCTCCAGCGTTTTATGTGAAAGACTGACGTCCACCGTCAACAAACTAATTTTGCGCCAAGTTGGGCGAATTAGCTTTTAGACCCAGAAAACAAACGCCAAAACTCACAATGGTTGACTCCGCACGATCCTCGCTCGAAAAAGCTCACATGAGCAAATCGAAGGTGAAAACGATGATTGTTGTCTATTTTAATAACTGAGGAATCGTCCACAAAGGGGTAAACCGTAAATCAAGTCTACTATCGCCAAGTACTCGAAATATTGCGAGAACTGGATCCTTCATCACGACAACGCCTCGTGCCATATCGCCCTCAGGGTTTCCCAGTATTTGGCCTCTAAGGCGATCGCCGTGTTGCAACAACCGCCTCATCCCCCCCTTGCTCTCTAGAACAAAATCGGTGGTCAAAGGAACCCAATTTGAGTCGATTGAGGACATCCACTACCTGGGTAGCCGTGACGAGGAATCACAATGGAATCGTTGTACAGCTACCCAAGGAGATTACTTTAAAGGGGATGGCAGAGTTGTACAATAGAATAATTTTGAAATATGCGGTTTTTGTGGAATCAGTCTCTTTAATTAATTGTCACACCTCGTAAATACGTTTTTATCGAACGGGGCTGTCATTCCCTGGAAAGAAGACTAGGTTTCCTGTTAACATTACATAAACAAAAAGCCGCCTATTAATAGAACTTTAAATATGTCGAATCAAAAGGTGAGTTTCTGATTTACTTCCTGAATTTTTTGTTTCGTACAAACCTTTCCAGGAACCATAGAAACAAACTGAATAATATTCAATATGATCTACCGGGTAGTTTCGAAGATCACAGAAAACAAACATACAGACATACGTTTTATACATACAGATGGTATCGAATATATAACAATTAATCTCTTTACATCTTAAATTAAAATTAATAAAAACAAAGTATTTCTGCTGTCATATACGGTTTTTAGTATCTAAAGGTTCCTACTGCCTTCAGATCGAATTTGGTAAGCACTTCAGCTTGGAAGAAAGACACATTCATTAGATAAGACTTTGATGCCTACGTAATAGCACAAAACTTTCGCCTTACACGTACCTTTGGAGATGATAATTTTGGAGCTTTAGCGCTTTTGAATGCCAAGTTGTTCACCAAGTGCGAAACGAGCCGGGGCTAGCACTCACAAACACCGATAAGACGAAAATCTAAGCAGGTATCCAACTTCGTATTTATTACTCATGATGAGCTTCACATGTCTATCATTATAAGTTGTGTTCTACTATGCTAATAGTGTTCCAGGTATAGGTGGGGTAGCACCGCTTCGTTAATGGCAGACAAAGTTCAAATGGGCGCCCTTTGTATTCATACACATATGGATCGTTTCGGTGCATGTGTGACTTGAAAAAATGCATCGAGTGCCGGGAGATCTAACAACCCAACACGCACAGTTAGTTTTGATCGTTGGGAAAAGGGATGTCATCAGGGGCATGCACACTTTCTTATGATTGTTAGATTGATAATTCTTAGACATCATACGACTACCGATGCAAAGGAGTAAGCGAACACTGATCTGATCTATCTAGCTACACAATGAAGATGCATTATATGTGGGATTCTATTGGGATCGGCCAATTCCACCTAACCTACCTAAAATGTAAACAGTATTTTTTGAATGTGTAGCATCAATAATTATGAACGCCCAATCTCATGCCATATCTTATGTATGTGTATCTCATGCGCTCTCTTTTGTCCTATGAAATTTTTGAGAAGCGATCCGACACTGATGTTATGGATTTATGTATGTGTATCTCATGCGCTCTCTTTTGTCCTATGAAATTTTTGAGAAGCGATCCGACACTGATGTTAAACATGACCAAAAGCTTTGCAGAATCGGTGAGAGCATGTCTAAAAATTTCGATTCTAAGAGAGATTGACGCTAGAGGCCTAAAGAACTGCGTAGTTAATTCTGCAGAAAGTTCTTCTAGGCTTCTCAGCTCCTACGTCACTGTTGACAGCCATACCACTTGGAACGAATAGAAAAATGAAAGCATCGCTTGACGAACAAAGTCAAAATTTGGAAAAGTCGCTCATCATTTTCGTCTTGCTTCATAGTGTTGTAGTGTGGATGATGGCAAAATCCAATCAGTCGTCATTAACAGTTTTTTGTACTACCCACGTCTAATACCAAAGACCTGTGTAATGAAACTAATTGACTCTGTGCAATCGATTTTTGGAAGCGATTTTCGGCCGAGCTCCTAGTTTAAGCAGCGGATGTTACTTAATGGAAAAGTTAAGATGAAGAGGGTCTGAGTATGTTTTTAGCCAAACAGCGGAGTTAAGAACAGGACACACAATCCATGACTTCTCTGTCTTGTCACTCAATCAATCAATCTCCCCCCTCGTACCCTTCGCTGTAAGCCCTTAATGAGGTACGCTCGTTCACTAAGTCGTTTTAAATTTATCTAAGATTCAGAGAGAATGAGGTTTTAGGGAAAAGTAAAGATTAACATATAAAAGTCCTCTTTAGAAACAAAGTGTATGACTTCCCATGCCTGCAAGCTTCTATACCAGGATCTAAATGCGAGCCCTTAACCTCCAAAATTGCGCTTGTATGTGTGTTATGGATTTATGTATTTAGCGCCGGCGCGTGTGCTGCTCAGTAAGGTCGCATACAGAAAATTTGCAGAAACGTGTGCAGTTGCACTGAAAAATTCGCAAAATCGAAATTGGCAACAAACTAGCAACGGATTCACGTTTAATTAAATTTTTATGTGATTCGTTGATGCGCCGTGACATCTGGCGGCAACAACTACATAAACACGTATGTACATACATACAGCGAATATTCATACAAATATATGCGCATTAAATACATATTAATATATATTAATGATGGCGAAAAACTCGCTAAATAATTTGAAAAAAAAATATTTATTATTCAAAAATCTTTAAAAATTGATTTGTAATATTTTTTTTTTCAAACTAATTTTTAAATTCAAAAATTATAGAAAATTAAAATATGTGCGCGCCGAAAAGGGAGTGTCAACACAAGCGAAAGAGGTTAGAAAATTAAGAAATAAAGAAATAAAAATAAAACGTGAGATAAAACCAAAAAAAAAAAAAAAAAATTGAACTCCTCAAATCTGTAGCGCGAAAAAAAGAATAACTAACTATGTATGCACATGATGTCAAACTTATCAGCGGTAGTTAAACTTAAACGCCGGCTTCAATAAAACTTTGCATGCCGCTGAAGGAATAAACAAATAAAATTTTATTTCATTAACGCAAGCAATGAAAGATTAAGGCCGAAATGTCGCAAACTATTTGGGGCGCTGGTACGTTAAGCTATCATTGTTCGCACAGCTTCGCTGGCTAAAAGCTTTTATGTTAAAAGCAAGCTCTCCGACCGAGCAGATAGTCATGCCAATACAAATTTTCCATTCTCGCGTTTAAAATGTGTTTTGAACTTAGACCTATCCGAACGATATGCCAACACAAACACACATAGATATGCCAAAAAAAAAAAGTGTATTTAAGCGTAAAATAAAATTGCAATATCGCTGAGTAGAAGTTATGACTGTTGGCCGTTGCGCTTAGTTGATGAGGTTGGTAATGCGACGAAGCTTGTGTACGCGCTCCACTGACCGAGTGACTAGTTGTTGGCGCGCAAAAGCGCGTGGTCAATTAACCAATTTAAATTAATGAAAAATTAAAAAAAAAAGAATAAAAAATTTAAGATTGATAAATAAAAACAAAAAAAAAGTATTAAAAGTTTCCGATTGCAGTTTATAATTTTCTTTTTCAAAATTCGTTTTTATTAAATTTCACTTTGATCGGCGTGAACTCTTTATGACCATTCTTTTTTTTCTTTTTGGACAAGGCCATTAAATGTTTTAGATATTGACCGCTTGATCACATAAATAAAATGTGTATATATGTCACATGTGAATAAAATTATACAACTTTAGTAGCCACGCTGCGTTGCTGCGGCAGCGCGCAAGCTCTAACAGCGTCAGTTGTACAGTCGGCAAATATTCCGTTTTCTATGATTGCAAAAGACATGACTTTGATTTGACAAGACAGGGTTTTAGCAGGCTAATGGTAGTTTTGTGAAAGAGTTCCGAGGCAACTAAGGATTTCCTGCCTTAGAAGAAAATACTTTACTAACGCAGACCCACCGCATGCGCGATTATTATTATAGCTAACCACATTGTCCTATTTATTACTTACTTTTGCTTTTTGTCTCCTTCTCTACCTGGTCTTTCCAACAGAGTTCAGATCTTCCTCTTCCTCTGCTCGCCGGGTACTGCATCAAAGCTTTTCAAGCCCAGAGTATTCCTATCCATCCGGACCACATGATCCAGCCAGCGCTGCCGCTGTGTGTGTTGATCTATGTACAATGTCAATGTCGCTGCATATCTCCTACAATTCATCTTTCCAACGGCTGCGATATTCGCTGGTAGAGGATCATAAATCTTAAGCAAAACTTTTCTCTCGAAAACTCCTAACGCCGTCTAATCAGATGGTGTCATCGTCCATGCTTCCATGCACCATATGGCAGGACGGGTACGATAAGTTACTTGTAGATTTTGGTTTTCGTTGGACGAGAGAGGAATGTACTTTTCAATTGCCTTCTGAGTCCAAAGTAGCACCTGTTGGTATGAGTGTTTCAGCACAGAATCCAAGCTACGATGAAGCTATCTACGACTTCGAAGTTATGACTTATCAACAGTCTACGACGTGGTAGCTGACTTTTTGTTAAACGCCAGGAGATAATTCGTCTGTTGTTAAGTCTTTGATATTAATATATAACGGGTTTTCTCTTCCGCCACGAATTCGAAAATAAATTTTGCACTCCTTTATATGGCCGCTTTGGTAAACATCATAAGGATCTAAATGCTTCCGCTCTTGAGACGTCCATCGCACTTCTTGGACAGCACCGCCTTTATTCTTATGAGTACATCAATCAGCTGTGCAGCGGCTTTGTCCCATTAAGGGACCAGATATTGCAGGTGGATGCTCTCACTTTGAGATCTTTAAAATATTTGCGAGGGTCGTCATCAGAAAAGGCGTATATCATCCGAGACGTTGTTACGTTTTCAATGGAGCTGATTTCTAAAGGCAGGTCCTAAACTTAGCGCACAACCTCGCTAGGCGAGTAGGTTTAAAGTTTTTACACATTTATATAGTGAGCCGATCGCTTCAAGACCGACGCCCGGTCGCAACTGCACCTCTGATGAACAGACGCCGCATTTAGAAATCAGCAAACCCTTAAACCGAAAGAGTCGGAGTGGCTCTACTGAAGGTTCTTCTCTTTTAGCCGTGACGGGGTTGGTTACTGCATCTTGCACAAAAGGTTGCTCGCGTTTCCAGGGTGCTCAAGAGCAGGAATTGAGTATAGCCTCGCAACTGTAACAGCATACCCAGCAGCTTTGGCTACACCCCATTACGGCTTCGAAATTATGACTATCAATAATTAGGTGGCAGTTAAGACGCGATATTTCGTCTTATCTTCGTTCACTACCAGACCCATTCGCCTAGATTCCTTGTCCAGCGTAGAAAACCATTGAAGTAACGGCACGATTGTTCAAGCGGATGTTGCCAACAACATCGGCATACTTCAGGCTTGGGTAAATCTAAACCGTTGGTTTGACGAACTCGTTCATTTTAAAAAACTGCAAATGGCTAAGAGAGATTCTTAGGATCTGGCATGCGTATAATAATCGAGGAGAGATGTTCCTGAACTATGCCAGAGTTACAGGTATTTTTTTTTCTATTTAACTCGCTTCTTTAGCTGCTTTTAACGGGACCAAGCGACACGGCTTTCTGCCAGATATAGGCGGATTTTTTCTTTATTTATAAAGACACGGCTTCAATTGCAATGAGTTTTTTTTCTATCTTTCCCAATGATAATAGTTTGTGGGCTCGGAGTGAAATCATTGCCTCAGCGATGCCCTCTTTACTGGGTAAAATGGTGAGATAAACTTCATCCCAACTATAGACAGGTCTAACTAAACTTATAAATTGAAAGGTTACCTAAGTAGAAGATCTTCGTTACCTATTGAGATGGGAAACCTATTAAATGTATTACTGCGTCACAATAACTGACCCAAGCTCCAAAAAGGTAGTCTGAAAATCCTTCTGTCCAAAAATAGAGTCGATTCGTGTGATCTTTTCCCTAATATAAAATTCTGTCGAAGACTTTCAATTTTCAGTTGTCTACAGAGCTGAGTTCATCAGATATTGGTCAAAACTCGAGGCCACATTTGATTGCTTGACTTTGAAAATATATCGGCCTACAGTAGCGAGTGTCCAATAACTGAAACACCAGACTCATCACCAGAAAGTACTCCCTTCCACAACAGATGGAGTGAAGTATAAAATGTTTTCTAAGGCGTCCATCCATATTTCAAGAGACTTCCCTTTATGTAGTTCTGATAATTGTGCTTTTGTTTTTGTGATCATTGACAAGGAGATGAGATCGAGGTTTCTGGTTCATTTCTTCCTGTAGATCTTCTTGGTTATAGGTTTTGTGTGGTTCATGAGCAGTTAAAATCTTTCAGAGCCGCAGTAGATGAAGACTTCTGACCTCCTAATTGAAGTCTGTATTGAAAAACTAAGCCTAGTAAAGAGACTAAAGAAACTACATATTTTTTTTATAAAATAAAAATGAATTTAATTAAAAGAAGAATTACTATTTACAACATAATGTCTGAGAGTAATGAGATGGTTCTTTTCTGACTTGTAGATGTGATAACCGAAAGCAATTTAACGGCATGTAAAAAAAATATTGCTAAGGTATCCTAAGTACAAACACATTTCGACTAATTATAGTTCCAAGCGATTTACTTCTTTCTGTAGACGTAACCACCGTTGGAAGCGTATTGAGTACCAACATCACCACCAGAGTAAGATGAACCGCCTGACGAGTAGGAGGAACCACCTGACGAGTAGCTAGGCGCCGCTGGAGCCAAGTAGGCGTTTGATGGGCCAGAGATACCTGCAAAGCCACCGCTGGAGTAAGAGCCACCAGCACCGCCGCTAGAGTAAGAACCACCAGCACCGCCGCTGGAGTAAGAGCCACCAGCACCGCCGCTAGAGTATGAACCGCCAGCACCGCCGCTAGAGTATGAGCCGCCAGCACCACCGCTTGAGTAAGAACCGCCTGTTGAGTAGCTTGGAGCAGCTGGAGCCAAGTAGGTGTTGGATGGACCGGAGAAACCAGATGAACCGCCGCTGGAGTAAGAACCACCACTGCTACCACCTGAAGAGTATGATGGAGCCGAGTAAACTGGAGCTGGAGCTGGGGCAGAGTAAACTGGAGCTGGAGCTGGCGCAGAGTATACTGGAGCTGGAGCTGGGGCAGAGTACACTGGAGCAGGAGCTGGGGCAGAGTAGACTGGAGCTGGAGCGGGGGCAGAGTATACTGGAGCGGGTGGTGAGTAGCTCTGTACAGGTGGCAAGTATTCGTTTGATGGAGCGGCACCACCTGAAGAGTATGAGCCACCAGCACCACCGGAAGAGTAAGAACCGCCTAGAGATCCACCTGATGAGTATGAGCCACCAGCACCACCGGAAGAGTATGAACCGCCTAGAGATCCACCTGATGAGTATGAACCGCCTAGAGATCCACCTGATGAGTATGAACCTCCAGCACCGCCGGAAGAGTATGAACCGCCACCGCTACCGCCTGATGAGTACGATGGAGGCAAGTATTCTGGTGCTGGAGCGGGAGCGCTGCTAGGAGGCAAGTAAGTCCTTGACAAATGGCTAACATCGGCCGAGGCGAAGGCGACCAAGGCAAGAGTGGCGGCGATGAAGAGTTTCTGTAATTATAAAGAGAGAGAAGGTGAACGATTATAAAAGATGTAACAAAGAATTTTTTTTCTATAATTCTTTTTTTTTGACGGTTATTGCTTTTATTTAATTAAAGACATAAAAACATTAAATTAATAAATTAATGAATCAATATTTATTTGATCTTTTTTTTTAGAAGTTTCGTGACTTTTTTCAAATATTTCTTGTCAAAAATTTTAATTTGACTAATTTTTATATTTAAAATATTTTTTTTTTGCACTATTTCGACAAAAGTTGAGTTTAATTTAATATATTTCAAAACTAAACTTTTTTCAATAATTTTGGTAAAAATATTTTTTTCAATTTCCATTTCCTTTTGGGAAATATTACGAAAATTACTTTTCCACTTTTAAAGTTTTTTTTTCATTAAACTTCTATTCACTTCATTGATTCCTTGTCAATACTTGTCTTTAGAAAAATGTTGCACATTTTCAGAAACGCTTTGTCGCAAGTCGAAAACACTTTAACAGAGGGTTTTTTCTTTCTTTTAAATAAATATTTGGCTCTTAATTCACCCACCATTTTACTCCGATGATTAAAATGAGTGTGTGGTCTATTGGAAAGGACGTGACTTCTTGGCTATACGAAGAAACCGTTGGAACTGATGCTGTTCCACAAATCGACTGACCAATTTATACAAAAATTATGCTTACACGCGAAATCCGTCTTTCGAGCGGCGAATAACCAGCTCCCCCTCAGCTGCCGGTACAACACAGCAGAGTAGTGACGGCATAAAGCTCAGCTACGCAACGACTTCGACGCTCTGACGACGACGACGACGACGCTAGGGCCGGTAAACAAGTTTTAGTAATTTACAATAAGCACAACAACAACAACAATAATAATAATATAATACAGGCAAAGCATCTACTACCCTCTAAAAAATCCAAAAATACTAAAAAGTAATAAAACTAACAGCATTAAAAAGAAGAAGAAAAAACAAACAAAAAAAACAACAATATTGAAGGCAAAGACAGTAGGTGAAGAGGCTGGTGTGTCAGCGCAGTTGTAAAACGTAAATCTAAAATACAAAAGGCGAATCGGACGGTGTGCAAAAAAGCTGGGAATAAACAAAATGATCCGAGGTGAGAGAAAAACCAGAAAAAAATTAATTTACAGAGAAAGATTTAAAATGTTTACAACAAAAAACAAAGCCATTGTGCTAGTATTAAAATGGACTCACACAAATTAGCACGTACATACATATGTTCATATGAACTAAGCCAGTGACTTTTGTTTAGCGCTAAAGCGTGAAAAGAGTAGTAGAAAAATTAAAATATTGGAAAATAAAAATTGGAAAGGTAATTAAAAATATAATCTATAATAAAAGATATAAAAAATAAGTTAATATAAAAGAAAATAAGTTAGAATTAAAAAGTAAATAAAATAAAAATTTCAAATAAAAAAATTATATAAATTAATAAACCAAAAAACTAATTAAAATAAACCAAATTGAAATAATACAAAAATAAGCTAAATTACATTAAAGAAGACAAAATAAATTATTACTAAAGTAAATTATATAAATAATAATAAAATAAATCAAATAAAAAAAATTCAAAACTTAATAGAAATGAATAATATAAATTAAATTAAGAAATGAAAAAAAAAAAATAAAATAAAAAAAAATAAAATAAAATAAAATAAAATAAAATAAAATAAAATAAAATAAAATAAAATAAAATAAAATAAAATAAAATAAAATAAAATAAAATAAAATAAATTGAATTACATTAAATTAAACAAAATAAAACAAAATAATTTAAAATCAAATAAAACGAAATAAAATAAAACAAAAATAAAATAAAATTAAATAAAATAAAAAAATAAAATAATAATAATTAAGCAAAATAATATTAAATAAAATATTCAAATAAAATAAAATTTAAATAAAATTAAATTAAACAAAATAAAATTAAATCAAAAAAAATTATAATATAATATACTAAATTAAAATAAAATAAGAAAAATAAAATTAAAAAAAGAAAAATCAAAATAAAATAAAACGAAATAAAAACCTTGCTAAAAAAGTAATATTTGTTATTATAGATTAAAATAAAATAAAATAGAATAGAATAAAAGAAAATTTAAGTAATTAAAATAAAATAAAACGAAATAAAAAAACTAAGTAACAAAATAAAATAAATTATTAAAGTTTAAAAGTAAACAAAGAATAAAACAAAATGAAATAAAATAAAATAGAAAATATAAAACAAAATTAAAAAAATTAATAAAAGGAAATGCAATAAAATGAAATAAATTAAATTAAAAAATAAATAAATTAAAACAAAACAAACAAACAAATAAATAAAAAAATAAATAAAATAAAAGGAAACAAAGGAAAAGAAATGAAAATGTAACAATACATTAATTTAAAAGTAAAGCAATGTTAACTAATATAAAATAATATAAAATATAATGAGAACTAAATTAAGTAAAAATTAAATTAAATTAGAAGTATAAAACAAATTAAAGTAGATTATACTAAAAAATTTCACAAATTTAAATTGCTGTAAAAAATAAAATAATAGGCCGATGGCCTAGTTGCCAGCGCTTTATTAATATTTCTTTTATGATTCTAATCTATTACTTTTTTAAATTTTTTATAAAAATAAAATTAAATTAAAGAAGGAAGAATATATGAGTTAAAGTATGGAACAATTTTATATTAAGAAAATTAATTAAATAAAAATGAATATTAAACCACAAACAACACACTGCCACAAGCAGAGGCATCTAATGTCGATATACAGATGTGTGTGTATGTACATATACTTACGAGTATATACGAGTAGACTTGTATACATTCATCGAGTGTCATTTAATGTGAGTTGGCGGATGTGCAACATTTACTTTCATTGACACATTCGGTAGAGTCAGAATACATTAATTATACCTATACATATGTAAAACACATGTGAAAAAAAATATAACTTTTCCATTTGTATGTACGTTTGTATGGTATATAAAAATGATAAATTTATGCATTTATTTAAACGGTGTACTTGATGTTGGCACATTTTGTCTTGCCATAAAGGTCAGGCCAAAGTTAGAAGTTGTTGGCTAATAGTTCAACTTGACCAAGAACAACCGAAATGTATCAAAAAAAAAAATAAGTTTAGCAATTTTTAAGACATCAAAAACAACACAGTCTCACTGATGGATGAGTTTATGCACGCATTGACAAGTTGCTAAGCACATTGTGTAGAAACTGATAAACAATTTCTTAAAAAAATATATCTATATAATATCCAAAGTATCATAAATAAATTTTTTTATTATATAATAGTTAAAATTTTGCTCACATAAAAGTGGAAAATAAATTATATAAAACTAAACAAAAAATAAACTTGTGTGTACAACTTAAATAATATGCAAAATAAAAAATTATTAAAATAAAAATATTAATTATTTATATAAAAAATAAAATAAAATAAAATAAAATAAAATAAAATAACATAAATAAAACTGAACAATATTATGCAAAATGAAAATAATAAAAGAAATGAAAAAATTAAAAACATAAAAATAAAATACTATAAAACCGAATAAAATAATCTATGACAATATAAATTAAAATTCAATAAAATAATATAAAATAAAATAAAAAACAATATAAGAGAAACTGAAACGAAATGAAATAAAATTAAATAATATAAAATTAAAATAAAAAATAAAATAAAAAATAAATTAAAATAATTAAAACAAAAAAATAAAACAAAATAAAATAATATAAAATAAGGTAAATTAAAATTTATTAAATAAAACATACTATTAAAAAGTAAAAAAATAAAATAATATGAATTAAAATACAATCAAATATGATGGAGTTAAATAAACTTAAAATTCTAAAATTGGGTAAATGAAAATAAATCACATTGTAATCATTGTAAATCGAAATAAATAAAGCAAAATAGTATAAATTAAATAAAATAAAGTAAAATAGACTTTAAAACTTAAAATTAAATAAATGAAAATAAATCAATTAAAATTAAGGGATTAAGCTAAAATAAATTAAAATAAATTATTAAAATAACTGAAACAATAAAAAAATTGAATTATTATCAGGCAAAAAAAATTAGCGAAATAAAATAAAATCAACCAAACTATAATTAAGAAAAACTAAAATAAAATAATTAAATAAAATAACATAAAGTGAATTAAAATAAAATAAAATTAAGTAAGCGAATATTAATTAAACTAAAATTAAAAAAAAAAACATTTAGTACAATTTAAGTGAACGGAAGTTATTTAAAAAGAAATAAATAAAAATAAAATAAACTAATATTAAATTGTAATAAAATTGTATTAAATAAAAAATTAAATCCTAACAATTTTGCCAACATTTTATTACCAACAATTACACTGTTCCATGCATGCGAACTAGTTTTTGATGGATCCGTTGTTGTTGATTTTGATGTGCGGTGACAAACAAAGTCAAGTCTACGTGAGAGCAGCAAACAAAGCAAAAAAAAAAAAAAAAACAAAAAAAAAAAAAAAAAAAAAAAATTTATAATTTAAATACATGTTAATGAATGCTAATAATAGTAAAAATATGCGAAAAGCGAAATGATAGTGAAGAAATAATAAAACGAAAAAAAAATAAATAAATTTTTGCAAAAAAAAAAAATATAAATAAATTCATAAAAATAATTTGCAAAAATAAAAGCAAATAAATTTGTAAGTCAACGCGCTGAAAAATAGGTACATCATTTCTGCAACTACTAGTTATGTTGTGAGCTGTCAGTAAGCATTTGGTAAGCGCATATGCAAATACAAATGAGCTCAAACAAATGTTAAACACCTAATAACAACAACAACAACAACAACAACTTTTTTTTCTAGCTTAGGAGATGTGAGCAGCGATGGAAGGCGGTCACGAAAATATCTAAAAACGGTGTCAACATACATATCTATTTACATATGTGTGCACACACCGCAATCAATAGCAGACTGCACAATGCGGCTGCGTAGCAAACGCTTTGCATTTTGGGCAGAGAGATAAATAAATGAAATGAAAATCAAATAAAAGCCAATGCAACGTTCCGGCAAAAAGCTAAGACGCCGCGTTGGCTGGCTAAGTTGGCAGCTACCTGTTGCCGACTTGCCGACTCGACTGATCGCTGTTGATCATCATTGCGTCGGCGCGTTGTGTGCTCATTTGCATACATACAAGTATATGAGTTTAAGTACTTCGCTTGACAGCCAAACTCTGCTGGAGGCCCACTTAGTTTTTGATGCACTAAATGGTAGCACAAAATGTGTCAATCAAAATTATTATTTAATTTTTTTTTCTATAACTAGGTGCGCTATTTAAGGAGTTTGATTTTTATTTTTCTATAAATTTCTTAATCCATTTTTTCCTTCATTCCCTCCTTACATGCATTTGAATTTTGCTGACTACACAAGGTCACTGATTAGTTGGTAATTTTTGAGTTTATCGACACACTTCTCTTTTTTCATTAATTTAATTTCATTTTATTTCCATGCTTTCGATGCATTTGTATGCCACAGCAGGAGGGTTGCGATATAAACTTGAATACGATCAGCTGTTACTCTCATTTTCCCTGCACAATGTGGGCGCATGAATTTGATTTGGGATCGTTGG